TTGGGGAACGAGCAAGCGACAGGGACAGATAGTCACGAAACGGGGAGCTTTGAGTTAGGTAGATTAAACCTTAGCCGAAGCTGGGGTTTAGACCAGCCGAGGCTCTACTTAAATACATATTGGATAGACTAAAAATAGTACTGTGAGAGCGTCCGATCGGAATCGCATCAAAAGGTAAGCCTGAATACGTAAGGAAAAGAAAAGAAAAGAATAAACCGTAACAGAGTATTAAATCAGATATTCGAGGCTCTTATAAATGCGTTCACTGGCAACCCCTGATGAGCGGTGAGGTGCTATGGCCTGCGAAGTTGAAGCAGAACTGATCAGGTCTCACGGTCAAACTTGAACCATTACCTGCGGGTGGGTCGCCATGTGCAAAATTTCGATGATCTTCTGTAGCTCTCACCTGTGGTCCGTTTCCTTGAAATCCCTGCTACGTTATTATGTAGTCGTGTCTTTGGACGCGTCGGTCTCATGATGTGAAGCCTGCAGGTTTTGATGATCGAGTTTATTTCTCTCTTGTGCTGGTATTGGTCGTACTCGATCGAAGGTTCTCAGCCTTCTGTTCAATCCTAGTCAGCGACGTCACCACTGCAACGAAAGCAGAAATGAGTGTCCTCCCTGCCACGTGAAGTCGTTGTTTAGTCGTAGTATCTCTCCGCTGCATGTTATGATCGCTAGCTGGGCATCACACCAGAGCCACTGGCAACTCCCATGCATATCGAAATGAACATGATATGGCGGTAGCTCTCAATGGAATGAGGAATGTTCCGGGCTCTAGAGAAGGAAGAATGCTCTGAATGGAACTCGAAACTTCAAGGCCGACAATACACTAGCCGATGACTATGACGTTGAACCTGAGGTGGTATAGTAATACCAGGAGCTCGTCAGTATGATGATGAACTAGGTAGGATACGGACTCGCCTCACCTTCAAATGCTTTCAACAGTTTAACAGTGCGTACTCAATGACATGGCGGGGGAATATGATAACTTCCCAAAATGGCAGTGGGTTGGTTTTTGGGAGTACTAGCAGGCCAATATTATGCTTCTTCGTGCTGCAAATCTCGCTTAGTGGTTCAGTTTCATTCATTGATTACAAGATAGATTGCGATAAAATTAATTAGATATAAACAGAACGGTAAGACATGAAATATATGGAGAGAGAATGAGCAGCAACGACAATATACGCAGTTACATACCTTGTCTCCGTGGTCTCTGTTACCTGTTACCATGCGCCGTCCATCTGCCTGTCCCTCCTACTCTCTTGTTCCTCGTCGGTTTGTGCATCTGCTAGTCCGAGTCGCCGACGAGAAACAGGTGTCTTACAAGTTACATCATCTGGATTTCGCTATGTGGGCTCAGCAAGTGGGCTCAGCAAGACGTCATGGGCATAAGGTTTACTGGCCTTGCCTCCTGATTGCTGTCAACCTCCCCAATTTCGTTATGAGTGCCAGAGGTGCATTGAGCATGGTAAGTGAGCATTGAAGAGCCCTGATGGTGATGGCCTTCCAGGATCACACTATTGGAGGGCTAAAAGTCTCTCGGTTAGGTGGTGATGGCTGTCATTCCCATAGTCGTAACAACTTGCAACATCTTTTGGGCATTGGGCACTGGGAAAGGGCCACATGGTCCTAGAGATAAATTTAAGCCAAAAACTGAAAAGAACACGTACTTTACTCGGCTGTTGTGGGCAGAACGACATGGGAAGGGAGTATGGTGGTTAGAATCCAGGAACACAGGTGTACAGCCACAGTGATGGACGTGCGGATGTACGGTCTGCGCCACTTTATATTCATTCCGTGTCAATTCCTTGTTGTATAGTACTGTTCCCTTGGGTTTACTTCTATTATTTTCCGATGCCTTCGCCTCCGTCCCTCTTTTCCTGTATAACTCATTGTGACTAGTCCTGTTTTTACCGCGCCCCCCTTGCTATGACTGTCGGTCCCGTTACATCAACATCCATATCGAGAAGTACTTTCCCACCACTACCGGTAAACGGAATTCCTACTTACTCGCAATTTGGTCAAGAAAAAGCCAAGGTGTCTTGCATGTATACATTATATGTGGTTGTTCAAATGCACATGAAGTGTAATACACCTTGTAGAAGGCGACAAAGGCCTTTTCTCTGCAGACTGGTTATCGTCCGGCCCGAGCTGGGGCTGTGTGCCACTGAACATGTTATATGAAAAAACCTGTAGAGAATGACATTTTCTGGCAAAAAAATAGTTGATATTGCTATGAGAATGTCATAATAGCTGAAATGTATGCAATACTAAGAGAATTAACTTTTTCAACACATTGTATTCACATGCGTTGTGAACTGATTATGTAAGAGAGTGACGGTTATAGCAAGAGGGGGTACATAAACAACAGACTACATACACACCGTCACTCCCTCCCGTCAACAGGTGTGTATCGTCGTCTGTCTATGAGAGACTACATTGTGACTTGTTACCGAGTCTTCTGACTCGGGTTGTATTGTTACTAAGTATGAGTCCAAACTCTGTAGTATATAAAGATGTAACTATCTATTAGTAGAATGTCAGAATTCTCTCGCCCTTTTTGTTGTCTGACCAGATTCAGGCCTGCCGCGATTAGAGCGATACCACATCCTAGACTCTACAGAAGTGCCCCTGCTGATCTGCAGGGTATTTCTTCATATTGTCCAACGTCTCTTTGAAGACGGCCCAGTATGGCCCCAATTGGTATCTCGCTTGAGCTTCTACCTCGGTCTAACGCCATCCCTGCCCGCACTCCCAGGACTAAAGAGAGAGAAAACAAACCGGGTGTTGGTTCGCATCTCTCATATGTGGCACACAACATGCATATGTCTGGCAGGCAGAATTTGGGCTGAATACAAGCGAAGAGTATGTCCAGCCTCAACCAAAAACACCAATGCCATAGCCATACAATTACCATCCTTTTTATTGCATATCTCATCTTCTTGACCGTTTTTCTTAATATGTGTAACCTTATTTACAACAAGCTACCGAGGTAGATTAGTTTACGCTTATTTACCTGAGCTGTATCAGCAGAGGTGGCCAGTTTTCCAGTTATCTGTGAAGAAGCACGTGCTTACTTCTTCACTTCTGCCCACCACCATGACCTGACCACCACTTACCACCATCGGCCAGACATGACTTGCCCTGGCATTAACTCGCGACAATGTATACTTTCCTGCTGAAACGCCCACCCTGCATTGAACGGCCCGACGTCGTTTCTGGATCCAGCTTCCGATTTTACTAGAGTGTATGATCCTGGTGCCAGGCGCGACTAAATTTTGGGAGGAGCTAACTTTGGCCCACGACAACTACATCCTTGCTCCTCGATGCCCTTGTTGTGACTGATACTTCACACATGTATCACGAAGAATCTTACTCTCAAGCTCTTTCGCATCAGCATAGAAGGTTACAACCGCGACATCGACCAGCCCTCCGCCAACTTGGTTGCTATTGTTCTTGCTGCGCTGAATGATTGGCATCACTTATTGTACCATAATCCACCATGTCTGCTTCTTGTCTTTCTCAGATTCACCACCATCTGTTTGTTTGTTACGTCCGCAGATGACGTCCTTTGCGAAGGATGTCATCTGTGCAGTGGTTACGACCACAGATGGTGTCCTTTGCGAAAGACTTTATCTGTGCAATGGTACTCGGCTGTTCCCTGAATGGTTTCCTGATTTCCCGATGTTTCAGGCATGCATTACACCACCACTACCATGGCCACCATGACCTTGACTAATGAGAACGTTGCGGAGGATTATTCTTGCCCATCTCATCCGAGTCTGTGGTATCATCATTATGCACTCTGACCGCTTCTTTGTGGTCCGTGCATTTGTTTCACATCTGTCTCACTTTCTCTTGCAGATACATAAAGTCTGCCTTGCATTACTGTTTTCACCATGCATTGCTGCCAAATCTGCCAGTGCTTACAACGTCGGTACTAAGTAATAGCGCCCATATCACTCGATGTCTCCCATAATTTTCTGGGCGTTCAGTCGTAGATAAGTCAAGAAGTCTTGTTAAAAAAACATCTATGACTTCATGTCCTCTCCTCCAGAGGCTACGTTATTTCCCTCACACGGTTCTTACCCATAGTGACCTTTGGCTGGGACTACCCATCCAAATTAATAGCATTTAATAGCATCCACCTTCCATTCGTACTTTTTTGTGCCAGTTCCTGCGCATCGAAAGGTGTTGGCGCGCTTGTTGACATCGTCTTACTCCTTGGCTTTAGAGGCTCTTCGGTGGTCCAAACGTCGACGACTAGCACTTCTTCGTGAGCAAGTTCATGCCGTTGTAACTTATTGTCGCTCGGAAGTCTAGGACGAAGTTTATGCTGCCTCGTACTGTGATAGATTAGAGGACTAACAGACTTTGCGATTGTAACTCTTCAACAAAGTCCTTTACATCGCCTCACTCCAGTTTGCCTCCTCTTCGCAGTGTGCACCCCCGGGTTTCAATGAGAAGCGCTAGTACGCCTGTTGACATCTTTTCATATACTCGCCGCGGAGGTCATTTACCCTGTGAGTAGACGGAACTTGAAAGTCCTCCGATGGGCAGAACGAAGGTGTTCTCCCCTTCCATGCTGTCAGCGCTTGTGCCATCTTTGTGGTTCAGAGGTCAAGGATGAGACACATTTTGTTGTAACGACAGAACCGGCGACTTCCAACAGAATTTACGTGCCTGTTTCTTTCATAACGTTTTCACGCTAGCAACTCAGCCCCTTGCAGCAGCCCTGAAATAGGTATCATTTGCACGACAAGTTCTCCATATCCTTCTTGATAGTGAAGACACTCAAGTCCTAGACTAACTTCTTTTGCCAAGTCAAGTTTTTAACTGTACACTGCTGTATCATCCCATAAATACTTCAGCTCTGTAAATTTCCTTGTTTCGTTCTCACAATCCCATCATTATGTTACCCACTTCAGCGGTCTCTACCCCACGAGACACACTCAACAGTGTGATTACAACGGTATGAGCCTTTGCAGCCACAGCACATGGTTCGCCATGTCAGGGCTGTGGACCTGGCCATTCCTTATTGGGACCTGGCGCCGGTAACACCACCACCACCACCGTGCATACATGCTTAGTCTTTTACAGCTAAAAAAGAAGCTAAGGAAAAAGAGGCAAAGCTCACGGCCAAGGCGTTGAAGACCAACAATACCAACACCAGGGAGAAAAAGGTCAAGGTGGAGAAGAAAAAGGAGGACTCAAGTTTTCGTCAATGCGATGCCCAAGGGCGAGAAGAGGGGTGCGTAGCTTGTACTGTTCCTTTCTCTGTCTGATCATGGGTAGATCTGTCACTGGCACCACTCCATCACCAAGCACCATCGAACATAGCAGAAAATCTGCATATGCCCAGCAGTGCTACAATTTTGATCCTACTCAGCCGTACATCACAGTAGCGGGGCAAGAGAGCGTAATAGCTGTGCAATCACCGCCTCCACCTGGAGGATATCGGCCGCTTGGAGGTGGCTGGGGAGATTTTGTAGGAGGGTAGGAGGATTCAGGAAAGTCTTGGGAGTTAGGAAACGTAAGCCTGATACGACGCTAGTGCGAGTTTCGTCAACCCATATCTCGATGTCGAGACTTCTGGTATCACCTCGGGACGTCGGGCACGATGCCCAACAGCAGTCGTATCCTCAGCCCTCTCCTCAGAAATATCGTTAGCCGACACCCCCACCGCCAGCTTCTGCTCATGGGGCAAAGAATTCTGTCGACGGTACCACAGCTGTTGACCACGGACCCATGCAGCCGGTACACACACACTTACACCACAATCCTCTTCCATCCCGCCTCCTTCTCATGCGATACGCAGTCCAGCAGTACTTGCATGCTTGGGCGCAAGACGTTGTTTTCACCTGGCTTTGACCACACTGGTATATCGATGCAGAGTGTAGTGGAGAAACGGTTATTCAAAAGTGAGGGAAAAATGAGGCATGATCTTGGTCGGGAGAGGTTTCTGGAGACGGCTATGGATTGGAAGAACGAGTCAGCTTTCCTTCCTTTTAACATGAATTTGGACTAACAACGGATGTAGGTACAAGCAAGGATAACCAACCAGCTCCATCGGCTAGGCAGGAGCTACGACTGGGACCGCGTTCGCGTTCACGATGAACGAGAGTCTGAGCAAGGCTGTCATCGAGACATTCTGCAGGTTACACGAGGAAGGGGTCATCTATCGTGCAAATAGGTTGGTGAACTAGTGCGTCCGCCTCAACACGACACTTATATTCCTTCCTTCAACATCTTTGCCTCCTCCAAACAGGCGATTAGAGCCTCCTGTTTTTTTTTCCTGGCCGAACTTCTTTATCTTGTCGCCAATCATAGAACGCTTGTTTTGTTTGGCATTGAGCGAGGAAGGCGCATCTTTCAATACGACTGGATAGCGGGGGTAATTGGAGATTTGCGGTTCAAGGCATTCGACATTGGGTAGACCGCATTTTCTGAAGTGTCGAGATAATTGAGGATGGGTCGCATAAGCACTGAAGACGTTCGGCTGAGCTGAGGATATGAAGCATCGTTGAATGCTGTCGCCTGGAAAAGGCATCCATCTCCAGCTTCAGGAATGACACGAATTGGACTTGGAAGCAGAGATTGTTTGCGTGCTGAGTTTGCTGGGTTGGGAAGATGCGGAAGTTCCCACTGCGAGGAGCAGGCGATCTTGGAGTCCTGCTGGTTGAGTGGCCTCGAGAGGCTTCTGCTCAACCATGGTGTCGAAGGCGCATAGTTTTTGGCCGGCGTTTGCTCTGCGGTTTGGCTGTGTGCTCTGGGAGGGTCGCATTCGTGCAGGACAGTGGGCTGTAGGGGATGGTTTGTACCTGCGACGGTGGTTGGGATCTTGATGATCTGTAGGAGGGCGTTTAGCACCCTGTTGTCTGGCTGACACATGACCTTGGTTTGATGCCACGCAAGTTTGACGTGAGGTACGAAGGGCTCAAACTCTGTGTCTGGCCAAGTAAAGCATAGCAAACAGAGAGATCTCTTACCCCAACCAGAAAGGAAGGATTTCTTGTCTCCTCTTATATTATATCCTGGATTCATTTGAATACTCAATACATCGCTTTTCTGATCTCTCGTTCAGTTTCCACAGCTTCACTTGGGCGTTGCAGACTTCCTCCATGCCCCACTCTGCATCTTCCCTCGTTGGTGTCCCTTATCTCGCAAAGTTCGCGATTTGCGAACCCTTGGTGAATTTTATCTTGAGCGGCGTGGGAACCGTTGGAGTATGCAAGCAGTGGGGTGTCGATGTCATGAGAAGTGAGGGCAAGGTCAACGGAACGAGCATCCGAGTCGACTCATGCCTGCAATCCAGAGAAGGGGGTAAAGGGACAAGATGCTGGGTTACTACTGCTGCGTCGTGCGATGCGGAACTGCGAATATCATGTGATCACAGAAAAACATTCGTTCCTGGTTTTTCTTCTTTCGTCTGTGTTGTCTCCGTCTCTGCGCCCGGCTATGCGTTTGACTAGGTTGATAACTCGCCTAGCTAACCTGTGGTAATCCCCACTTGTTCACGCAACATAAGCCTGCTTATTCTCACAACAGTTTTCCTCAATTGACAACTGGCAAAGAAAATTCCAAGGTCATTGATCTGGCAGAAGGCCCTCAGCACATCATCCAATTCCCCGAGAACATTGAAAACATCATATTGAGGCGTACCACAGGCACTGACGATCCCGATGCACTCAATGTCGATCCGGAACTGCTGGGGTTTATTTCAGAAAACACGGTGGCTCCTTCGGAGGGATCTGAGTGGGAGGACATGCAGGACATTATGACGCCGGATCATTATAACTACGAGACCATCTCGTGAGCTTTCCACTTCAATCCTGTGATCTCATTTCTTATGAACAGTCCTAGTAGGCCAATACCTAATCCTCCGGATCGTCCTGCCAAGGCAAACCTTTCCCCAGCAGACAAACATGGTGCGGCTTTGACCAAGGGTACCAAACGACGTGAAAGAAAGAAGCGCTGATCGGGCGAATACAGTGGCTACCACCAGCGCAGCGTGGCCAACAAAGCTTGCGATGTTGCTAGACGTCATCGGAAGAGACAGGCGAAAGTCGAATGGAACGGGGTGGAGACCATTCAAGTTGAAGAGAGTGGCTGGGATGTGGCTGATCTCCCAGCTTCCAGCACTGGCTGGCAGGGTCATAGGTTCTCTGATTGGGGTGGCAGCTTCATCAAGAACAGCTTCATCAACCATACTTTGGGTCCGATTCTCAAGCATTTTCACAAATGTGATTTTGATCCCCGGCAAGCTATCTTTTATTTGTTCTCCCGTGAAGCCAAGACATCTTACATGCTTCTCAGGCATCAGCGGCCCACTCGTATCCTTGACTCCTGCGGTCGTCTGGTCATATTTCGATCTATGGCCATACCTTGGCTGGTCGATTCCATGGACGACTTCATCCAGGAGATGAAATTTTTTGTAGCTAATTGTACTCCGTTCAAGGACGAAGATGCAAGCCAAAATGTGCGTGGAAGACACTGGTTTTGTATTGCCGGGCATGACCGTCAAAACAAGGCGGTACGATGCATTTCCCACTATAGGCCCTTGATCCTTCTTCACACTTTGAGCAGGCTCCTGCAGCAACACAATGGCAGCAACTGAATGCTACAGCTGTTGCGAAAGCCTTCGCCAAGGGAACGCTGTTGTACCGTACCAGGTTTTTGACTTCTTTTGACATCTGCGTAAAACTGAAAACTTTGCAATAGCGAGATGGTGTCATGCCTTACTGCCTCTGAATTCCCTGGTATAGGAGAGTGTTTCTTATGGTGTGTTGCATATATGACCGATGTGTATGGAATGACCCCACTCTTTGGCCTCTACTGGAATTTTTGCCTCAACTTCTGGCGGGAGACCATCCCTCGTGTGTTCTGTGATCCACATGTGGACAAGAACAACCTGGCTTGTGGGGTCTGCGCTCTTTTTGTCTTTGGTTCAATCTTCCTTCTATTCTGGCCCTGATTCTAACCTATCTCTTCAGGGAAATTCAATTCTAGAGAGAAATGTTGGCTGGTCCTCTGGGAGGGGCGTCTTATTATTGAGTTGCCTCCAGGAGTGATTCTATTGTACCCGTCATCTCTGTTTTACCACTTCAATGTGGATATGAAAGGCAAGTCTCCATGTTGTCCAGCTATCCCACCACAGTCCACTTGACTGCCCACAGATATCAAGGTAGTCACCACTGCTGATGGAGAACTCCCAAACCCGAAGAACTCCCACCCACTCTACAATCAATGGAATGAAGGGGAGGAACGGGGGTCGTGTGTCTGGTTCAATCAAGCTACAATGTTTCAATCTTCTGAGCTTGGAATTGCAACAATGAAGGTGGCTCGAAAGGATGGGTTAGAGGTAGATATTGATTTTTCGGAGATGGTCCGCTCCAACAAGTACTTTAGGCAGTGTTAGTATAAATCTAAGTACTACAGTTTATAGAGTCCATGCAGACAATGTTGATGGTTCCACAACAGAGATTCCCACTACCAAGGTGGTGGGTTATGGATAAAACGCTATTGTGCTTTGCAAAAGCAATCTGCCAGCCACCTGACGTGGCCCCCTAACAATTTTGCGGCTGTGCAATGACCGTTTTTGTGCTCTGCGGTTACAAACCCCTATTAGTCCTCACTCTTTTCGCTTTAAAGGCTACAGCTCGCAGCATTGGCGAGCGGTAACCGGTAACTGCTCATCGTTCTCTTATGTCGCTCTCGTTTACCTGTTCTCTTGACATCTCTGTTGAGCTCAAAACCAAATAGCTATTTGACGAAGCTCTCACCATGGCGCCACCTGGCACCAGCAGGCCTTCGGGCATTCCAGGCTTCAAGACTAAGTAGGACGAACTGTATGTCCAGATGTTCACTCCTTCAACGGAATAGGATTCTATTGTTGCTATAAAAGAACAGTGCGTTATGGGACTGCGGTAGCATACGAAGATGAAGAGTTGGATGCCAGTGCCGTACAAGAGGAAGTCCTGTCGCTTCTTCCAGACCTTGCAGCGACCACGCTAAGCCCTACGATCCTGAATCTACCTCCAGCTGCGATCTCCCCGTCCGTGAACGCACTGACACGGGCAAGACACTAGCTTTCCTGGTTTCCATCATCGAAACTCGCGTTAGGCTGTTGAAAATGCTGGTCAAAAGAGGGTTTTGACAACGTACTGCCCTCCAAGCCTCACCTTGTCGGTCAGGCGGCGAAGAATTGGGCACAGGCAAATGTTGGGGCCATTATTATCAGCCCTACTCGGGAGCTGACCACACATATCGCTAAGGAGGCTTTGAGGCTTTCGTACCAACACAAGGGATTCCAGGTTCGGCTTTTGGTAGGCGGAGTGAACGAGAGCGTACAGTTGCGTAACTGGGCTAAAGGAAGGTTGAACATTGTTGTAGCAACCCCTGGTTGTATACGTATACGCGATATCGTCAACTCTGAACCCAGATATTGCAAAGGCTTTGAAGACAACTCGTACTGTAAGCCTGTTTTATTTTCATATTCACGTTATTGATGGTGAGTATATAGTTGGTACTTGAAGTCGACACACTCATTGGTTTCCACGACGATATTTCCGCCATCATCAGGGACCAGTGCCTCTGATACCCGAGCATCAAACCCTATTTCTCTCTGCTACCCTCACTCCGGCCATTCGACGGGTTGCTTGTGAGGCCTTGGACAAGGACTACAAGTACATCAATTGTGTTGATGACTCGACACCCACCCATCTCAGTCTCCCCTAGTACGCTACCACGGTTCCGAATCCCTCACACCAGCTCTCCCACATTACGAAACTCGTCATTCATGACTAGCTGAAGCACCCCAGAGAAACTAAGGTCGTTGAGTTGTTGCCTACCATCAAGCTCATCAAACTGTTCTTGTCAATGTTCAAATTTAGCACCGGCTATCAAGTGCTCTTTTATAGTTACTGCATGTTGCCTTCATTCCTTCATCATATACGAACACCTCGAGAAGAATTGTCCCCAGGACGATAGTGAATAGCTCTACTCTGAATCTTCTGGTTTTTACTCACCGAACAATATACAGCAATGAGTACGTCGATGCGACCATTTGCTCCATTCGATGGGCTCGACTATCGGAAGAATTGCACCCCCAAGGGACTGGTAGAGGCGCCCTTCGTGACCGGTGAGGCTTGCAGTGTGCAGGATGCAGGATTGTTTTGCCGTGAAAAAATGCTGAGGAGAGCGTGTTCTGCGTCGGCACCACAGTCATCAAAATTATGGCCTTCAGTTTTAACCGTCGTCATCGTCATTGTATCTCCGGTACTTTGGCTGGTTCGTTTCTCTTGCTATTTGTTGCGCCCGAGGTAACCACTTGTCTCTATATAGTATATATGCTTTTGCCGTTCCACGACCAACACACCCCTCCTGAGCATCCTTATTTGTGGGCCTCCTCAGCATACTCGGTCTTGGTACAGCTCTACGCAAGATCAGACCAGCTAGACACCACATACACACGTTTCCGATACTTCGGAAACATATCCCCCCTATGCATCAGTGGATGCGATGCGCTGGAAACTGTCCATCACGTCTTTGTTTCGTGTCCTGCATATCACTCCCGTCATGCCTAAGTTTCCGCACAAAGGAAACATACAGCAGCACTGAAAAAATTTCTATATGCAGTTTCCGTCAAGTCAGAAACTGGATTCTCCCTGCCAAATACTTATTTTCTGCGGACAGAAATCTATCTGAGGAAACTTTTTCTGTTCGGCGAACCGTTTCTGTCTGATTTTCTCCATGTGGAAACAATTGGGGGACAGTAGTGTATCGCTCTTTCCGCCAACATGCCACACAAACACTGATTACCGAGACGTCCCGTATCCTGGACTCTGCAGAAGTACCACTGCTCGTTTGCAGGTCCTTTCTCCAGGTTGTCCAACATATCTTTGAAGATGGCCCCAATTGGCCCCAATCACTGTCTCGCTTCTACCTCGGTCTAACCCCACCCTTGCCCGCACTTACAGGTTTGACAGGAGCGAAAACCAGTCGTCTGTTGGTACGCATCGCTCACACCTAGCACACATCATGCATTCGCCTGGCTGGCAGGATTTGGGCAGAATATAAGGGAAGGGTACATCCGGCTCCATCAAAAAAGAATAGCAACGCCGTAGCCATTGATCTACCGTCCTTTTTGTCTCCTATCTTATCGTCTTGACTGTCGTGTTCCATTACTTACATGCGAGGTAGATTAGTTTGCACTTATTTACCTGAGCTGTTACCTGTATCAGCCGAGGTGGCCAATAAATCCGGTTTTCCAGTTTTATTCAACCACCCACTTCTGCGCGGCTGGTCATTGATATTCCGAGTCCTATGAATATAGGTTACTCGGTTATTATGCAGGTTGAATACTCCATGGGAAAATTCTATTCGCTGTATCAAACCTTAATGGGATTTGCTGACTTACCTGCCTGAGCTCATCGTGGGAATATTGCTATTGACTGCCGCTTTCTTCCGTCTCTATCCGATTTGTGCCACTCCCCACTCTCTCCGCGTTAGCGTTCTCTTTTCACTGCCTGTCTTTTTTCTTCTCATGTTTTCTTGTTTTTCCTCTCATTTTTGTTTTTGGTATCTGAATTTATTTTCTATTTGTCGCCTTCTTTTCTTAACACCTCCATGCTCATTCCCTCCCCTTCCCATGCTTGCACATCATCTTCTGCATGTGTGTTTGCCCCCAATGCCCTCTTCTTCAAGTTCACCATCGTGTGTATGGTGTCCACTTTGTTATTTTCTAAGATGGTTGATTCCGAAGGCCGGGTCGTCGAACCGAGTGATACCTATACAAGCGCTTTTTCGAGTTGGGCCTTCTGTCCCGAATGCACTATAGTGTATTTTAATTATAGCTTTCCCACACCTTTCAAACGTATGATCAAGGTGCGGTCGGCCGCAGCACAAGTGTTGCAGGATTAACACGAGTTGTACCCATTTTGAAACAACTACTTTGGTTAGAAATGTGACTTGTTAAACGTTTTGCAGAGCATCCTCATGATTGACAATCCCGTTAATAAAATGATTGCCTTCTGGTCTCTCCAACTGCGGCTTGGGGCCATCCGTGCCTACGACGATGTTGTTTACAGTGTCTTCGCAGGATCCTTTCAATGAATGATGAGCACATTCATCCTCTCTCGTGAGCATTGTGGTTATGGGCAGATATATAACAAGAACATAGGACTCGGACCTGCCACACGGATGCGCTGGCCCTCACTCCACTTGTCGCTTGCTATCTGACATGGCTGGAATTCCTACATCCATCTGTTCCTTCAATTTGGCTGACCATGGTTCTGCGAGAGCGAGCGGCACCTTTCGGAGTGAATGCTAGTTTCTGTACCCTCTCACATGTTCTCTCGATCTACCTGCTGCGAAACGTCTGTTAAGGGTTGGTTATTTCTGACTTCTAGCTACGTCATTTCTTGAGTCTTGTTTACCTATGTCTTTCGGATCGCTACGTTTTCAGCCGGTTTCTCTTCGTTCCCTCTTCTCATAGGCAGGCTAAGTCGATGAGCGTCCCACCGATCGTACGAGTTTACGGGAAAAATCTGGAGCAGCAGATGCCTGCGAGGAAGCGTGAGGAGGAGGGGAGATCCGAATGAATAGGCCTCTTACCAATTAGACTTGTGTAGACAAATTTCTTTCAACCCGATTAACCTCTGATTTCTACCACCATGTTGTGTCTTTGACTCCATCTACTCGGACAATATACGCCCGACTTGTACTCATTTCTGGGTTGAAGACCCTTCCCGTGGCAGATTTCTTACATTGTCGTTGGAGTGTGTGACGGGCCTTATTAGTATGTAGATATATTACCAGTACGGTACAACATGATCCGTGGGTCGATGACAAAGTTTGGACAACTTCATTCTACGTAGCTTTTTGTCCTTGCATTTCATGTTTTCTGTTAGTAAGGGGGTCAGACAGGGTCATGTCATTGTCAGCTCTATCTATCATCATGTTATTCATGTGGCTCTACAACCTCTGCGCGTTCTGCAACTAAGTATGGCCTATCGTAGCCAAATCATAGTCCGAAGCCAGCCAACAACATCAACATGATAAATGTAGGACTTCTCAACGAGCCTTCAATCACACCCTTTGATACGGGATGGCAAACCCTTGTCTATGGCTATTGCATCACTGGCCTTCGCCAACAAGATACAGCTGTGTGGACCATAGAGGTCGAGATATCAGCAAGAGTCTGTGACAACGTTTTCTTCTTTCCTTCGCGACCAAAGCTAGTGAGATGAATCTAAGAAAAGCAATTGTTGGGACATGGTGCAAGTATTCAGCATGAACGAGATGTATAGATGAGAATTTGACAGAAATAACCAACGCGAGGATCAGCTATCAGCCATATATGGAAGAGAGTGTATGTGTACATGGTCCTAGTGTTGCATATCCATGAGCTGATCATATGCACCGTTGGACACGATCTGTTCCCGTGAAGCCACCAGTGCCAGTTCTAACATGAGGATGAGAGGTACGGCCGAGCCTTTGCTGTCGAGGTGCAAATCAGACACATCGCGATCACAGCGGAATGATTTACTCACCGCAGTTACAATGGAGGTGGGGATGAAAGACTGGAGCTTGTTCTATTGAGAGGCATTGTCTGCACTGTGTAGTGGCGAGGTTGTAGACGGCGAACCCTGTGCCTATAGAAGAAAGAGCGCCCCTGTGCTGTTGATGGCCGCAGAACTCTGATATTACTATGTCAGCAACTTCCAGAGGGTGACGGCAAATTCAGGCTCACATCGGGCAATCTGATTGGTGCCTTGACACCATCATTCCTTTGCCGGAGGATAATGTGGTACTAGAAACTTGGACCAGTTCAGTTTCATCAAAGTGGGCTTATAATATACATGTCTCCCGTATCCAGACCAAAGATTACAGCGCTTCCTGAAAATAATGAGAATCCCCAAAAATGATGTCATCATGTTTGACGTGCGAAACCACCTTGGAAATACTCTTTTTGGTATATACGTCGTTGAACCGTTGGCCCCTGAGTCGTCCGAGAAGAAGACGTCACCAAATGTGTCGAAGGGTTATAGAGGGTTATGACCAAACTGAGTACATAAATTATATCAGACTAATCAGTCGATGTAACTGATGATGACATTTTCTGTCATTCCCATTATTTTCCGGAAGCGCTGTAATAGGTCTCTTCCCCAAATTAACAAGCGCCAATGAGCGGGGAATAATCGCGGCGTTGTTCCGTGACCATTCTGACGGAAGGTAGCCTTGAAATCTGCACAGGATCGATAAGTGAATATTCTTCTGCTGACCTTGTAATTCAATGCGATAAGTTCGGATTTCACCACAAAGTGGCTGGTCATCGCAAGCTTCTGCATTGTGTTGTAGAACACCAGCAACAGGATCGTGGAGGCAGAGGCACCCAGAACAGCGAAGATTTCATGGTAGAGCTGCAAATTTCTCTGAGTTTCTTGCAGCAAGGGAGTAACATCCGTTGCCTGGGGCGCTCCCGTAGACGCATACAAGACCCCGGCCAGTGCCGAAGATCAACCACTCTCCATCAGAGCCTATAAATGCCATAGCAGTGAGCTGACCCCAGCGTTTACCAAGGTTTGCAGACATATGGCTTTCTCCATGACCAGAGTTTGATCGCTTCATCCTGCCTGCCTGCCTGCCCGCTTCATCGTCACTTTGTTACAATGTATCATATAGCATCGTCGAAGTGCGGGTAATAGAGTGCACACTCCCACTAGCAAGGACTGGCCGATTGGGTGTGAAGGCAAGGGTATTGACAGCCCCTCGGTACCCATGCAAACGGGCAATGGGATGATATTTCTGTGTGGGATCAAGCAAGGTTTTTAGAGCACCTCAAGCGATGTCTTAGATTGTGTCGGCGAGCAAAGGCCGGAACGTATCAGACATTGTGGCTGTATACATAAGAGCTTCAGTTGCAGTGAAGGCAATGCAAAAAGGGTATATGCAATTTCGTTTCGATGTCAAGAATATTCTGCCGCATTAAGTACGTCATTCCCGGATTGTCCAGGTGAGGTTCATTGTGTACCAATCCAACGATGAACCAGGTCTTGTGTCTTGAACGAACAATGAGGCCATTGCAGGGTGCATTGTATGGGTTCCTATCACATTGAAGGCAAACACGACGGAAGACGTCGGGTCGGAATTCTTCGAGGATGCTCCAAGTAGATTCATCAAGGAAGATCACATTCACGTCCCTGTGTCCAATGCTAGGCAAGGTCATGAATAAAGGCGTTAACGGGGTGCATGAGATACGCTCAGACAGAGAGGAATTAGAAGTTCTGGGTGTAGGTCAGGGTCAAACGACCGTGTGCATGGGGGAAAATAATAAATAAAGCATAAATATCTTGCGATTGGGCGTATCACCCGAAAAATAAGGGCGAACCAAACAGGATGAAGGTTGTCAGCGGGTAAAAGCGAACGAGGGAGGCTGGATGGGGAAAAGGAAATGAGCGCCTCCCAAGGCGGATGAAGAGGTGGTTGATTATACGGGTTTCCTCGTCAAGAGGATTGGATTCGGACAAGAGCATAAGAGGCGGAATACTATCATGTTTCATTTCCATACAGATCTCCTACAGCGATGCGCACTCGAGTCAGAATCCTCCCACCAGCAATCACCCAAAGATCTTCTTTCTCACTGTTCACCGCGAGCGGCGTTCCAATCACCCAGCGGATGGGCTGGGATGTTGTCTTTGGATACTTTCAAGGAGAGCATCAAAGAGAACCCACCACCTCAGAAACAGCGGCGCTGAGACAGATCCTTTCATCCCAACCCATCATCGCCATCCGTGCCAATGCTGACGGAAAGATCCCAAAACCAAAGGGAGAAATCCACAAAGCATATTCCTTGGCCGACCTCCGGCTCGACGATGAACTGGATAATATTCGGGTAAGTTCTACTGCAGCCTTACAAGCAAATGAAAACTTACTTGATCGCAAAGAATTTCGTGAACAAGAAGGTCGAGGATAGCCTTGACATGACCATCTCATTTGCGTCAAACAAGAACAGACACCACCGCGAGATCAACAGCATCCACCAGGCTGTCCATAAACAATCACTATCTGATGCTGCCACTACTGACGTTCCTCAGGCCGCCATTGCATTCCCCATCCTCTGCAAGTACAAAGCGATGTGGCCCATCAATGACCTCATCAAACTGAGGCTCAAGTACACGTCGGAAAGGGCACGCACAGCAGCAGCAACCCCTGCAATCGCCAGCGGTAGTGGCATGCATCAGCAGGTTCGTGCTTCCCTTCAAATCTTCCACTTGTGTTAACAATCTTGACTGCAGAGCACTGACGAAGACAACGACGATGAGATCATGGATTCGGATGAGATTTAAGCTTGACATCGGGTAACGAGTTCCTGTAGTAGGGATGTGTACCAGAAACGGACGATAAAAAAAACGTTGGTCCAGCTCCTAGGATAAATCCATGAAAGTTTAATCGAATCCTGCTGCCATAGAGGTAGCCTGGGTAAACCCTGAGCTGCCGGCCATAGAGGTGAAGTGAGCGCTGCAAGTAAGAGTAAAAGAAAGGAAGGTAGTACGGCTGCTACGGCAGGCGGACTCACTGTTTGGCTGCAGATTGTTTGGCACCAGTCTCGTCTACCCACTGCTGGTGCTGCCTTGCTTCCTCACTCAGTACTTGGGTCACTTCATGGCTCCACGGGGTTTACCCCGGGAACCTGGTTCGCCATTCTCTAAAGATCAATCTACAGCTAACTCTCTCTGACTACGGCTATTCTTTGCAAAATGAGAGCATCTTGGGCATGCGCAGCGGGCGACCCTGCCTAGAGCACCCTACAAATCTGCATCATACGTGAGTCCCCATGCCCGCTCTCTTGACAATGGAATCAGCAAAACTTACTTCTTTATCATCCAATCTGACAGGTATCTGTTCTTTGACTGCATGTTCGATACATACATACCCTCAGCAACACCTATGCGCATCACAACGATATCGCCGTGCCAGCTTTTTCCACCAATAAACCTCGACGACCTTATCATGGATGAAGGGCTGCATATCCATCCCAGAGAATACACCCTCAATGAATGGGAAGCGGTTGTTGGACCGGATGTGTGTGAGCACAGGAACAAAAGCTCCCCCTGGGTTTGAAGTCGAGTATATCCTCGCTCGGATCATCAGGCGCGTATGGTAGTGGTGATTACACGGCATACAGGTCAATGGAACTCAGTGCTCACTCTGGTTTTGGGAGACATTTGTTTGCGGGACGATGGCATTCTGGCATCTATCGAGGGTCGCTACCAAACTTGTCTATGTTGCTCTAGGACATATATTTATTTCCCTCTCCCGAAATCTCTCGTTCATGAATTCGGCAATAAAATGCATTAATTCAGTCACATTTTTATGTGCAAAAACTCCCTATCTTCCCTGCACCGTGATCCCCTCCTGGAGCCTCCGCCTTTCCTGCTGCGAGTGCATCTGGTGATTTATCGGCCTCTATAGGCCCATTGTTGTACTCAAGAGTCACTCGCCAGTATTACGAACAAACGGTGCCAGCTTCCATCTGCATTGGGATTTTATGAAATCCCTGGCCGCATGCGCAGACTACCTGCGTTGTCGAATTTCTGGTCCAGATGCTCTTGGTGGAGATATGTATAACAATAGCAAACGGTTGCACAAGAGACCGCCCTGGGGCCATGGGGGACGAAACAGGATAGGACAAAGAAATGAGCGATTTCTTTGTTCTCATACCAGTCTTACGTCTGTGATGCTTTATGAGTAAATCTATCCAACACCGTGTGACCATAGTCAACGTCGCTTGTACTACAGATGGTCATTGTTCCAGAAAGGCGGCGGACCCGATCAATCTATAGTTCGTTCTCCCTACTCATCTCTCCGAAGAAACTGGGAGATCGTACTTAGTTATTGTTTGTTGAATGTGATCGCCAATCGTACGTAAAACAAGCCTCCCTAACTGTCAGCCTTTCTCGACCGCTTTTACCCATCTTCCTTTCGGATGTTGTCATCTTGACGGTCGACATCCCTTTCAAGGTTATCATCCTTAACTCTTGTATCGTTTCCAACCATAGAACTACAATGAAAGTCTCCATCCAGCTAGGCTACCTTGTTTGTGGTTGCTATCTCTTTTTCAAGGGGACAATAAGTCTATGGATATAAAGCCGTTCCACGTTCTGTAGAACGTTAACCTTGGGTGCCCCCTTTTACAGCTATGACCCTGGACGTTTGTGTTAGGTTTACCCAAGCATTCATCTAGCTATTTTCCTCACTCTGCGACTTATATGGCGGTATGTCCCAACTGTTTCATTCGCCCTTCAATCGGCTCAAGTGGATTTTTAGTAATGCCGACTTGCAAATGCAATGCCTACGGTTGTATCAATTTTGACGATGGTGTTATTCTCGACAATGAGACTGCCCGACAACATGCAATAGATGACAATTATCAATATGCTTCTCAGATTCGCGATGCCGCCCTGGAGGCAACCATTGAAGACGTAACCGCATATCTAGCGAGCACTACTCTGTCGGATATGCCATTTCAGACAAGTCAGTCTCCTGGAGGCAGGGCGTGGGCTCGTTCATATCCAAAGTCGGAGGATCAGAGAGGTGCTTTGGGTGATGAAGTTCCCGCCCCCTTTCTGCCCCCCCCTCGATATACTGTTTCGGACCAATTGAGGAAACAAAGGATTCAGGTTCATCTAGACCATCTCTGCGCCATTGAGCAGTCCCTCACCCGACTCATAACTGATGGGTTACCCCGATTACAAGGAGCTTCTTTTCCCACCGGAGATTCGTACCATCCTTGGCCTTTCAGCGATCTGGAGCAAGGATGCGATTCAATACGACGGGGGCTGACGACCACGACTGTAAACTACAAAGACGTGAGCGTGTTGGCAGCTAAGGACGATATAATTCGGCATATTCAGTCTTTCTCTACCTGCGTTCAGACCAACCGGGAGGCTTGGGAGCGAGGAAAGCCTGTAGAAGATCATCAGGCAGGGATCAGGTACAACACAGGTAAGACGCTCTTCCTAATGTTCTATGAAATGTCTCATACCTGCTTGCTAGATCATCATTTTGAACCCATCCTTGGCAATGCCAGACCCACCATTCAAATTGTTCTCTTCACGGTTCTGGCCATGAATATCATTCTCAATGTTGGGCGCCGTGGCTGCCGGTTTCTGCTGTCGATGGCACATACGCTTATATATAATGTTATGTCCTTATGAGGCAACATCCTCACAGCCAGCGATCGAGCTCTTCTTCATGACTTTCCCACTGATATCCGCATTTCGGTCGAGAAGTTTCGCTTGGACAGCAAATGCACCATTTATGCCGTCTGTCCCAATCCGCAATGTCATTTCACATATAAACCTGTTTTCCACGGCGATTCTCCTGTTGCACATTACCCCACTTATTGCCAATACAAGCGTTATAAAGGAAGTCCGCGTTGCAATGCCCGCCTTACCCGACCAAAACGCTTGGAGATTGAAAACAATGAACACCAGGAAAAGATCGAAATTCCCATCAAACCTTTCGTATCTTTTGACTTCAAGGACTGGTTAGGGTCTTTGCTATCACGCAAAGGTTTTGAAGAGAATATGGATGCTGCATGGGATGCGGCGCGGGTTGGTGGCGTTACTCAGGAGATGAGGGACATTTTTGACAGCCAAATCCTTCATGAATTTAAAGGTCCCGATGGTCTCCATTTCTCCATAGGCAACGGGGAAGGTCGCTATGTGTTCTCCTTGAGCTTTGACTCCTTCAACCCATGAGGTAACAAACAAGTGGGGAAGAAGAAGTCTATAGGGATGGTTTCCCTTGTCTGTCTCAACCTTCCGCCTGACATATGCTATAAACCAGAGAATATCTTTCTGGCTGGAATAGTTCTGGGCCCAAAAGAACCTCCCTTGGATGCCCTCAATCACTATTTGAAGCCCCTCGTCGACGAACTCTGTGAATTTTGGGCTCCAGGCGTTCACTTCACCCGAACTAACAAGTGCCCCAATGGCAGACTGGTGCGATGTGCATTAGTTGCTGTGGTTTGCGATCTCCCTGCCGCCCGCAAGACAGCGGGTCTGGCTACGTTCACTCACAGCCAATTCTGTTCACGATGTAAATGTACTAGGCAGGTGCATGGGTACGGAAATACGGATTATCGGAACTGGGCATATCGCACTGGTGCGGAGTGTTGAGAACATGCTGACATTTACGCCTTCTGCAGAACAAAAGAGCAGAAAAAGGATGTCTTCCGCTCCATGGGTCTTCGTTGGTCGGAGTTACTTCGTCTGAAGTACTTTGACATTACAAGATTTGTTGTTGTTGATGCCATGCACAACCTTTTCCTCGGACTGATCAAAGAGCACTTTGAAGGTGTTCTAGGGCTTCGTCTGGATCCAAAGGACTCTAAAAAGAAGAAGCAAAAGAACACCACCATTGTCCTTAGCATCGATGTCTCAAATCACTGGAAGAAAACTTTTAATCCCTGAGAGCAGTTGAGTCTCCAAAAAGCCATTGGGTGGTTGGAGGAGCCACTGCAAGAGAGTTTGAAAACTGACAATGGCTGGAAAACATGGCATAAACAGTTTAACAAACTTCAAGGAAGTGTCCTCATCTTTCTTTGTTCCAAGCTACAGTGTCCAATCATCACTAGGCCACAAGAAGAAAAAAGAAAACGGAAGGTTCACTGGACAAATGAGCTCCTATTTTGGGTATGCCGAAATCTCAGTGGTGTCAGGAGCTTTACTGATGTTTCACAGCGCCAGAGCCAGAATGAATCACTGAATGCCAGCATGCCCATTTCTCACCACGAGCAAGTCTTTACAAAGGCAGAGATTCAAGAAATACGGAAAGACATTTCCTCCATGATAACCCCCTCGTGGCTAACACCAGTCCCCAAAGATCTGGGTGAGGCAGCACACGGAAAGCTAAAAGCAGATCAATGGAGAGTCTTAGGTGCCACCTACTTTCCATCCACCTTAATTCGCCTTTGGACTGCAGGGGGTTGTACAGATGATCCATCTCAACGGCGCAACGAGATCCTCAAAGTAACCATGTCATTAGTCCTTGCCGTCATTGTGGCTTCATCTCGCGTTTCTTCCGAGGCAAATGTGGATCGGTACTTGGCCTTGATCATTGGCTACATGGACGGGGTGCACAGGCTATTTCCAAAGTACAACTTCCATCCAAATCACCATATGGCAGTTCATATCCATGAGTTCCTTCGCTTTTATGGGCCGGTACATTCATGGTGGACTTTTCCGTTTGAGCGGGTCATTGGCATGCTGCAACGAATACCTACTAATTTCAAAGAAGGTAAACCCTTTGTCCCTTGCAAGCATCTTGACTAATGGTCTACTAGGAGAGCTTGAACAGACTATGTCGTGTTCTTTCAACCGCTCCGCCAATATCCGGGCACTTATCAGCAAATTGGGCTGCCCAGCAGCTGTACGGGAGTGCCAAGCTGCATTCGGACAACTCATCAATCCACGAGTAAGGAACACCTTCCTCACAGACATGCATACATGGCACTCAGCGCAGATTGACGCTGACGATGATCTCTTGACCGTGTATACGAACCCGGCTGAAGGCTCAACTCCGATACCTCAGGAACTGTACAACCCTCTTCAAGACTTTCTAGGTTATCTGCCAAAAAAGGCCAAGTTTTTCCGCAACATTACCATGAAAGGCCTCACGTTTTCAACCGCAAAGCAGCACCTGGGCAACAGCTGTGTCCTCATAAAGGACCGGTGTGGGTACCTCGCTCCAGCCAGAATCACATACATAGTGAGGGTGGTGGAGGACTGTGTACTCATCGCTGTTCAATGACACAAGCCCGCCGAAGTACGCCATGACCCCTATCAGCCTTATTATGACATACTTCAACAAAGGCTGTGGAGTCGCAATGTTGACCAGCTTATTGTTGTTCAACTCTCTTCAATTGTTGCACACTATACCGCCCTAGAAATCAGTTGGGAGAACAAGGAATTTTTGTTAGTAGGGTCGCAAGCACGAGTACGCCAGTTTCATTTGTCATATTATGTGGATCTTCAAACACACTCACCGGCAGGAACATTGCGAAGGGGCTGCATCTCAAAGTTAGCTATCACATGGTTGGATTGGGTTTCATAAAATCTCCTTCCTTCCTTCCATAAATGTTTTTAAAGCCCAATGTAATAACACGTTTGTTTTGGAAGGTTCAGCCGAAAGCCGCAAATCACAATACAAAGAACTAGACTCAACTAAATGAGGCATCTCGTAAACACTATAAACACAATAAAATGCTTCTGGTTACGGGTCCGAGTTTATGAGGATCCTGGGTGCGCTAGCGCATGAGTTCGATTCCCAGTAAAAACTGCCTTGGGACGTTTAGTGGGTATTACATAATGTTGAGTCCCACACTGTTCGGCACTTGTGCCGTTCATGCGTAAATGTATTCCTACCCGGTCCGTCTGCTTGGTTTACATCCCTGGCAACAACTAATGGCTGCATGTTGGAAGCAACTGTGTCACTGGACCGCCTCTGTGATAGGCCCCACCAAATAATAAATAAATAAAAAAGAAAGAACGGCAAGGCAGCACATATTTTGCCACAGCGCACCACTCACGTGAGAAACACAGTCGCGCGAACTCAAAAGAGTCAACAGTCTTTGTTTGCACATGATCGTGGGAACCAGCCTTGAATAAACCTTGCTCTCATTCTGTTCCAGCCACCACCACCACAGCAGGCATGCGTTGGCTGGATTATCGTTCCGTTGACCTTGTCAATGCTGTCTCATTCTTCACTGTCATGGTAGACATGTGTCGACTGGATGCTCGTTCCGTTGACCTTGTCGCTACCACGACAATCCACTTTCATACACATGCCAAATTGCATCAGCACTCCGACGTGAGTCCGCTCCTCCTCCACCCCAAGGACGATATTTTTGATTGCATGGGTTTTTTTTTGCATCTGAAGCCCTCAATGATTCCCCCTCATTCTACAACCATCTCCATTTGTCTACCTGGGTACATGATGGACCTGAGGACAAGCTGCGGAAGCTCAACCATATCTTCGACAGGTATGTCTTTGGTTATGAGTATCTATTCGAGCACAATCTCACGTTCTCCCAGTTGTTCTCCCAAACAATATCGCTCGGTCGACTGTGACTGGTGGGCGCGATCCTGCACCATGGTGGCACTGACTTACCCTCGCCTTCTTCTCCCATACCTATTTCCGCTTCCGCTTCGTCTCCGCCATACATTCCTTTCCATGAACGATCACAGCTCATCCAGAGACTCGTCCTCATCTCCTCCTTCCCCCGACGTCAATGTGCTCCTCGTGCAAGCTGACCTCGCCATCACCATATCCCACAAGCTCCTTCGCGAAGCTCCTTTGCAATGTTATGCCAGCGCGAATTTGAGCATATACTAAGCTTATCAAGGTGATGATGATGGTGGCGAACAGCGATGCCTGTGTACTTGAGCGAAGGAAGGCCACGGGCGAGAGGCGACCGTTCACACCATTTAACATCCCCGCGCTCTCAAAGTATTCACTCGTTCAATCCCGGTCGCAGGCACGGCTGCGGCCGACTTCCTCGTCCGGAGCGTTTCCTTGAAAAACTTTCCGCAGCTTGGGCATGCTCCACCCTCTCTTCGTCGACTTGTGCGGCTGCCTCGGAACGATGGCATCCTATGTTATCAAGCCTTCCGTGTCCAACATTGTTGAGGCGTGTCTAGGAGGCGGCATTAGACAGGGCGAGGTGGTCGTGGAGGATATCCCGGTATCGGAACAGGCCGAGCATGGCCCCAGGGCCCAAACCTTGAGGTGAGTTTAGTGCATTATTTTCTGGACCATACTTCCTCACTGTTATACCTGCAGGCAATAGACGATACGTCATCACTCCCATCTGAAAACATCTCACGCAGCAATGCCGTTCAGCCCTTGAGGACGTCCGTCGTTCAATTTATATCGGAGGTACACGGGGTCAAGGTAAGCACAGCTATATGACGCTTTTGATACAACGACATAACGCATCTCAAAGGACACTCCTGTATCCTGTGAGTCGGTCTCAAGGACGTCTGCTGGTGTTCAGTGATCATTGGCCGCGGAGGAATCAAAGGTAAGCATGTCCGTTCCACACCTTTGGTGCATCGACTAACATTGTGTGTCTTATGGGATATTTTCGTTTCTAGCGAAAGTCGGGGCAGTCTTTATGTCACAGCCATGGGGAACTTAACATCCCAGATGATGGTCAACAGTGTATGTGTAAGTGAACCGCCGACGAGCCTTGTGAAGTTGGGAGGGTTTTGATCCTTATGGTGCAAGGTGTATAAATCAACGTTAAACACTAAATGCTGACTACCTATTACACGGGTAGTTGACTTACCACTCGAATACTCCTCCCTACGACATTGTGTTAACATATTAGCCAAGTAGATTCCGGAAAACTAGTGGACGTCGAGCTAGGAAATGCTGACCTTACTCATTATACTAGATGAACCTCGTAGACTCCCCCGGCTCTTTGGGTGTCAGTTTAGGCTTCTCCTTAATATATGGGCGTTGTTTAATCGGAAGACCGCGTTTTGGAGAAGACTTTTGGAAGCGACGATCATCGAGGATCTCGCAAGGGTTCAATCGCTTTACAGACCAAACATTTTGCTCCAAAGCTAACTGTACCTTTAGAGCCCCCCAAGAGAGCAAAGTTAATGAGTCCAAGTGTGCTATGAAGCGCATTGATGTCGGAGTCTTGGGTTTAATGAGCCTAAAGAAGACTCCGACATCGATTATGTCCTGGACGAAAGGTTCCAGGCTTAATATGTTCGATACAGCAGGATCTAAAGATTAGGAGGATAGAAAAAACAATACATCTAGCTGCTGATTGAGCTACTTACTGGTTGTCCTCGTTGAGAGTAAGCTTGCTGAATGCGACTTGATTGTCTCTGGTAAACGCGTTCCGAATATTTTGCTGATGGCATTGAGTGTTGAGAAACCTCGTTGAATAAATCGGACCTTTTTAAATGATGAAATGAGATAATGCCTAAGAGATCCAGCAACCGAGGACATGCATTTTTTTTAGGCCCGAATAAGAGCAGACGTTGCGCAGGTAAATGGAGAAGACAGCCAATTTTATTACCAAATAAATGCTTTGCGTAGGAGAGGCAGCAGTGGAGCACGTCGAAAGATGCAGGAAATTCGAGAGCGAAGGCGGTCGACGTCAACGATTAAGCAAGCTGGTGCGAGCAAGTGTCATTACCAAGTTCCCACAATCAAACAGTCAATCAACACAAGCTCTTTGACACTTATCAAGCACTCGGGAACAAACCTTCCTTTATTATTACGATGGTAGTACAGTAGCTTTATTTGGCTGAACTTGGTAGCAATGATAGCTCACGAAGTCCGTCACGTATGTTTCGAGTGACTGGAAATCCCTGAAGCTCATTGCGCCATTGATCTACACCCATTGGTTTAGCCTTTCCCTCGAGAATCTTATGTAATCTGCTTTGATACCACCTCTCATTCTCTTCAGACCAGAAACCCATATTGACACCTGCCAAATCCCAAGTATGTTGCAACAGCCACCATGACTTCAATGCAAGCTGATCTCCATGGCCTATTATATTGATAAGTAGATGGTCAGTTCAAAATTGGTATACACACCTGTCTTGCATCTGTACAATCTGCAAATGAGATCTGCCTCATCGCTACCAAGATCATCATCCCACAAGCTCCACGCCTCACCCTTGTGACCTAGGACAAACCCTAAGTGGTATTCTGTGGCCTTTGTAGAAGGGCCATGCAAGGCAGCATCTACGCTGAGGTGTTCTTTTGCAAGGTGCCAAATAATCCCTCCGTGCAAAAGGGCAGCATGTCCATGTGGTTTGTAAAGAATCTTTGCTCGATTTTCAATGTAGGCTTGGTAGTCTTTTGAGGTAAAGGTGTAATTCGGGGGTCTAAAGAAAACCGGTGGAGGAGCTGGTGGATTGTTGTCTTGGTAGTTGATCTTTAGATGGACAAGAGTGCGAAAGGGAATGCCATGTTGGATCAGGAAGTCGGGTACATGATTATCTGTGATCAAGCGGCAGACCTTGTATACATCCTGTCTACGTCGTATGGCCAGAAGCCAGCTGTGAGAGATGCGACTATCCTCGGGAAAAATGTAGGTTGTATGAAGTTGGTCAACTTTGAGGGTGAATAAAAGAGGATGAAAAGCCAAGCCATGTTCTCGATTGATGCTGGCGTCCCATCTATCTGCAAGAGGCTGATGCTTTTTGGAGATGTCTTGGAGAAATTGGGTAATCGCACTGGCTGTGGAAGAGGAGAAAGACTGGGCCACCTCTGTTGATAGTCCAAATGCCTGAAGAACATGCTTAAATGCGGCACTGCTGCTCGACAGCTTTGCAATGTCAACCGTAGGTGCAGTGAAACCAAACTGGCAGAATAGCGTTCGAAGGAAACCGGATGTCTGTTCAGCTTCTCGACTGGTGACCTCCTCAGGCATAGGGATATCGGGACTCGGTGTTCTTTGAAATCCGCGCAGTATTAGGTCAGGTTTCTCGACTGAAGGACCACTATCGATAGGGTCTGCGGTGTAGGAATCTTCATCGTCACTCCCAGTATCAAGGTCCTCACCCCATGCCAGACAAACATCCCATTCATTGCACCAAGAATCATATCGCTTTTGTTTCGACGAGTAATCCTCGAGAGTTTCGGCCCTATACTCTCGTTTGACACCCATGTCTTCGCGACGCCATCCTCTGGGCTCACGAGAATCCTCAACCCATTCATAAAGACCATTGGCCCATGTGGTAGGTGGGTTGCGCTCCCTAGAAAGACGGACTGCCCGATGTTCTTCTGTTTCTGTCTTTTCCCTCTCGGCATTGCGTTTGTCTCTGGCGTCGAAAAATGCTATCCATCCGGGAGGCTCTTGCGACAGTGATGGACAAGAATTGTCTCTCTCCGGCGCTGACAATGGCACAGGAAAATTGTAAGCAAACTCTTTGTCTATGTGGTCACCGATGTGAAGAGGATCAAGGTCTGCAGTTTCCAAGCACTCGTCCACATTTTGAGATCCAGGCTGAGTAGATGCTTGCGGAGAAATTGGACGATGGATGTGTGTTTGCAATTCTTGTAAAATATACGCTGGCGGGGCGATGGGAGTAAAAAGATGAGGCCATTCTTCAGCATCACGGATTTGAGCGCTGGTCCATGGGTACCATACAGGGACACCATTTTCAATGAACCACTGAACTGGAGGCTGTGAGCTGCCTCTAATGGTGGGGAGCAGAACTGTGCCCACGCGGTGCTTATAAGATGGATCTGGTGGGATTGTTGACAAGAGAATACCCTCCAACCAAGTAAAATCGAAATGTCGGGATTGCAAAAACGTGAACCAATCTGGCTGCCCGAAGTCCACCTTTCGTACATTCCATCCTGTAGTTCCATATGCGATGATGAATGAGAACAAGCCATACCACACAGAAAACCATCGTCGAGCGAGTTCGACACAGCTCCTAAGGCGTGATTTTGCACCTTTCTGGAAGGCCTTGTAATACAATTGCGAAGGAGGCTGGGGTCGCATGCAGGGTGCTGAGTAGCGGCTCGTCAGGATGGATGTGCAAATGATCAAGCGGTCTTCCAGCCACGACCAGCTGTCCGCTACATCTCTATCCATCTGGTGACCCCATTCCCGTTCCATGAACATGATACCATCTTTGATAAAAGATTGTTCCTCAGATACCGACTGAATACTCGTGCTCTTCCACAGGCACTCAAACGGATATCCGTGATGGTGCTCGCGGCGATCGATAAATGCCAACCACCCAAATTGTTCTGTCCACCACTGAGGGTAGAGATAATAATCAACAACCATTCCTTCGTGGAAGGCGTATTTATCTGGGTCGTGAGGCAGCGGCACTTCGATTGGATATTCAGCATTCGGAGTATAGAAGATGTCGCCAGTTTTCGACAGGAATGCAAGTCCTTTGCGGTGATCAACATCTTGGTAGAAGAAGCTCTCGTGGATACTGTCATAAAAAGTCAAGCTGTGGCTGCAAAAAAAGAGGCCCCGCCCTCACCCGGAAGACATATTCCTGCTACGTTAGTAGTAGGTCTTAACAGGGGATCATCGTTTCTCAGATTTTGTCCGGAGCCCGAGGCTGAAGTCATGGGAACTTCTAAATAAAGATATTTATTGCAGCTGTATAGAAATAAATTTCCTTCAAAGTCAGTATTTCGGCGTGGCTGTTGCTTTGTCTTGTGACCATCCATTACCATCATGCCCCTTGATGGTTTTGCTTGGCCGAGCTTCCAGTTCGGATTTCCCTTCAACAGCACGCACGGTGTTAGAGATTCTGCAGGAGCCACCACCGAGGGAGTCTTTTTTTCAATCAGATCATAGGTGAAATACTTCTTACTGTTGTCTTCCTGGCAGTATTCCCAGAATTATAATCGCAAGGAGTTAGCTGTTATGAGAGAAAATGCGAGCTGGTGGCGGCAACCGAGCGAGCTGTTTTTGATCGGCACTATCCAGCTGCTACTGAGTCTTACTGTGTTGAGTTGTTGATGCAGAATTGATTATAAGCTTCATAGGTAGCCCCCTCAATCATCAAAGTGCACTGCCAGCTCAGTTTCTGCGAGATGCTTTCCTTTAGATTGGTTGATACTTTTGTATTTGTATTTTCAAGAAGATTACTTAGCACAGCATTACATCCCAGATTGTTTAGGGTTTATCGATAATATTCCTGGCAATCGTGCGCCTAACTCCCTGCCACTGTATATTCTTTGTCATCCAATAAAGCTTGTCAGGGCCCACATCAGGGGCAGAGCCTGCTACATTTATCTACTGGGGTGACAAGTCAGGTCTCGAGCCGTGACTCGGAACCTATTGTTTATGGAAGCTCCAGCAGCCGGAAAACCCCGGACTCTTTGTAGACGTTCGCATCAATAATTGAATATCGACCGGCCATCATCGTCGAGTATCATATGGCTCGTCAACCAAGTGCATTGTACAGAAGCCACAGGTGTCTGGTTCTGTTTCCAACCAACATTCCCATACCGTCGTCTGGCAAACTGACCCTGGACTGCATGCAGAGGGGGGGGGGGGGAGGATGGCTGGAGACCATACACCCAGGAACCGTTAGTCGCTCCACCATTCGCAGTAATTGACCTCGTACAGTGACTACGTAACCATCATCTTGCCATTCAAGACTATGTACACCCAGACAAGACCTATGTGCGCGTCTTGGACACTTCTCAATGCTCATCACCTTTCGCATAGTACTGTGCTCTCAGTCGTGTCACTCCCACTGTGCTAAACTGAGTTATGTATATGTTACTCACTATCACTTTATATTATATACTGTTCAACCGGTTTTGTTTTTGTTGCATCCAATAAAAAGGACCATGTGCTACGCCCACACAGAACAGCATCCCAACTTCAGCAGCAACTTCAGGGCTCGGGTATGCCACGCCCTGCGATGGCTTACCGCTTCATCTAGGATCTGATCAAATCTCCGACTCACCACGGCACCGTGCTGAACTTTATCACAGTTACGTGTAATAAAGACCTCGGAAGCTCTTGCAAGCGGATGGCAACGGAGTCGGAATAGACTAGCACCAATTCATGAGAGGATTCATGATGTCAGAAGGTGGATATTTATGTCTCCCTACACTACAGATGGGATCTAGGAGAGAGGACAATTGGAAGGATAGGCAAGCAATGAAGAAATGGTTAGGGATTCACAAACACACATGGTGAGATAAACATACCATAGTCAAAATTGCCACCACGTTCCAAAGGGAAACTGAAGAGTACGGACAGGGGGACGACCGAAATCACGTACCATCCAGAGATGTGGGAAATGACCGGGTGATCATCGATCAAAGCCAATCTCACCTCTCCCATGACCCACATCATCTCTGTCTGTCCTTCAACACATCGCCGCTGCTCAAGCATCCATCCATCTCGTTTGTTGGAACTCAACACATCGCTGTATGGAAGGTATCAGGTCTCATCGGGTTACGGAGGCCAGGGGAAGACAGGTTTTGAGAGATAAGAAGACGGGTTTGGATAGCAAAGGTTCGGAGGCGAGTGTGATATATGTGGTCCGCTAAGTGGGTCGGAATGGGGATGAGGCGCATTGGCGGCATTGGCGGGCGTTGTTGTGTGTCAGCATCGCTGCTGTCGAAGGCGGATGGTGTGTCGTCGGTCGACTGGGGTGGTGCACGGTGTTGCCTTGTGCAAGGGTCTATGTACGGGGGCGAGGAGAGTGAAATAAACGCTATTTGGGGCTCTTGGGGTGGCCAGATGACTAGAATGGACCTAAAAAGAAGATTAAGTAACAGAATGATAAAATACGCACCTTTCATGCCTGAGGAACAGGGGAGCGGATGGATGGTAATTACAGCATCATTGAAGGTGAAGGCAAGAAAGGTCGCTGGGATCGGTACAACGATCACCGCTTGGTTGATCGGACCGTGGTGAAGACCTGCCGTGGCCTGGAAAGGTTGCGAAAGCACTGGATCTTATGAGCACGTTGGACCTACGTGAACGACATCAGTAAAAGAGGTAACGAGCACGGCTAATGTAGTGTCGAGTCCTCCTAGTGTCGAATCCTCCTACGTGCGAGGAACTCAAGCAGAGACAGAGAAGGACACAAGCAATAGATAGACAGATTTCGTACTGCATACAGGAAGCGTTTGTATTATTGAGGATAGGGATATGAGTGCAAGACATGGAACAAGGGAAAGGTGAAATAGACATCAGGTATACACAAGGAGGAAACAGTGAAACAGTATGAATTGGCATGTACGTGTCTCGCAGATCAACCTTTGGTGCTCACTCCATATCCTGCCTGCAAGCCGAATAGCTGCGAAGTGCCACGTATGCAGGAGCCGTGTTTGCAACCGTCTGCTGGAAGGGCGACCGTTTGACAGTGAACACAGATGGGAGTGGGGGTAAGATTCCAAGATAATAATGAGAGATATGTTGAGGCCAATGATTACTGTCCGTAAAGATTGTGCGTACGAGATGCAGGAGAGGTACGCAGATGGATAAAGGAACATCTGCATTGTGCAGTATTTGGGTGGTATGGGTGTGTATGGCTTTAGTTGCTTCGTAGCGAAGGTGATTGAATGATGGGCAGCCGACGAAGACGTGATGAACTGTTTCCAATTCATTACACCCGGCATGGCACAGTGGGGACATATCTCCGAATCGAAGGAATCTTGTGTATGTGCAGTCAAGCTGGGCAGAGCGAGCGTATAGTTGTACAACGGCAGAGTACACAGATGAGGCTCGAATATAAGGATGTTCGGGCGGAGCATAATCATCGTACAAAGGCAGAAGCATAGTGGTAGCAGGGCAGAAATTGACATGAGCCACGGTGTCAGTTGTGAATGCTGAAGACACATAGGATGGAATGTTAGATTCAATATAACCGTCGACAAAATTATATAACACAAAATGATCCATAGAAAAAATAGGTACTGGAGCGGGAGGAGGACGAAGTAATGTTGTTTGAGCACAGGTGGTGAGGTTATCAGCGACATTATTTATTTGAGAAGGCATAGATGTTGAATCGGTATGAGCAGGAGTGTAGATGATGTTGTGAGGGTTTTGGATGTTCGAATGGGTGAGGTTGTATAGAAGCCAGCGATAGAGAGAACGTGCGGGAAGTGAAGACCATTGACAGAAATGATGCAAGGAGGAAAAGGTACGCATCGGATGATGTAAGCAGTGTCTCCTGCAACCAGTCATCACCTGGTCCCACAACACCCCCTTCTTTCTCAAAAACCACCCTCCTGGTTGATCCGATTCGTTCAGGACGGTGTCGAGACTGATTAGTTGTCATCTTCGCGCACAGCATCGTCCAAATCAGCAGGTCAACAAACTCAGTAACTTTGGTCTCGTTCTTGAAGCGTGCCCTATATGGAATCAGGTGGAAGGCGGCGAATTTGAGGTGAGAGACGGTGCCGTTAAGCTCTGCAAATCGGTATGCCCCACTTCGTCGCCTACGGACCACTAACATAGGTCCAAGTAGTGTGGTTTGCCTTTTCGCCCAACTTCTGGTTCGTTTTTCTTGCAAGATGAGGACTAGGGCACCTGGTTTGAAGTCGTAGTCGTGGATCTTTTTTTTTTTTTGTTTCCGTTTGTACATTGCTTGTACATAGATCCTACATGCTAACGTATGGTCGGATTATCCTGCCTTGTATTCTATTTCGTCCGTATTGTATCTATGCTTTTGTATCACAACTACCGAGTAAGGCTTTGTTCCTTGCGAGTTATCTCGCATCCACCTCCCTCAGTCCGCTTTGGTGAGGTGACGAAGTGGATGTGCGTTCGCCTCATCAGCTGCTGTCCTGTTGCTTTGTCGAGGGTGTTAGGTCTCATGCATCCTCTTCGTCCATGTCTTCAACCCTGGGAATGATCCAAACGTGGTCTCGAAGCGACATGTGTCGTTGAGATACTGTATAAGGTGCGGTAAGTTCTTTCGTTTGGATAGAAATTGCTTAGCTGTCAACATGGTCCCACTGATGCCCATGGAACGCTGTAGTGTCTTGCACTCATTTTGAAAGGTTGGGCATCGTAGTCGTGGATCTTATTGGCAAATCATCACTCGAAGTTACCGATAGAGCGTGCTTTAACGACTGTTTCTTGTATGAGGGCAAAATCTTCCTCGCAGCATTCAAGTTGGCATGCATGCATAAATAAGAGCTCAGCGTCAGAGAGTTTCGCAGTGATGATGTTAGTTAGGAGGAAGGTGGACTCGATGATGTCAAAAGGGAGGAGGGGTTCTATTCCGTGGGCGCCATAAAATGCTGAGAACCCCGTTGCTCGATGCACCGTGATTCGTTCTGCCCAGAACACGTATGGTACTTTGAAGGGCCATTGCTTAATATCTCCTTCACAGAGCTTCACAAGGGCGTCACGGACTGGTCGGTGCGCTGTCTCGACGAAACGGTTAGATTGGGAGTTGTAGGCAGAGATACGGATGTGTCAGATGTTGTGTTTATCAGACAGGTAGATAATCGAGCACTTTAATCATGACTGGCCCATTGTCTGTGCCGAAAATTTCCGAAACACTTCCCCACCGACGCAAGAGCTAGACGAATATGAAGTTCCCAACCGTCTCGCCTGTTTCTCTCTTCAAGATCTCGTATTCCGGCCAGTGGATGGCACTGCAGCGCCCTTGAACGATATATTTGAATCTGTGAGCCGTCGGTATGTGCATGGTATCGATATGGACCTTTCGAAAGAAGCAAGCATGGTGCATCAGTGGTAGGTTCACCTTCTCCTTGCTTGACCATGTCTGAAATTTGTGGCAGGTTTCAATGTACCACCAAGAGATGGCCACCAAAATTTATCCACAATGTTTCGACCCATAGCGAAGAACTCCTCGTGGGTAACGGTTGCAAGCCGGTATTCCTCCTTCATCAGCCCCAGACGAAGGGCCACATACAACTGGGCATCAGGAGGCCACTCGTTTGTATTGGCGAGCATTCAGTTCCGTTACCTTTGAACGATACGTTTCCATGCCAGGATACTCGACGGTGTAGGTCGCAGACAGAGCCAGGCATGAGATGGTGAGGACATTCTCCCGAGTCGCGAGGGCACCCAACATGCTGATTTCAGATTCGCCTCTCCGTATGTGTCCTGTTACTGGTACTGTCTACAGATATGTCACGGAACCTGGATACATCAATTGTTGAATGAAGAGATCTTCAATTTCATCTGGGCGGGCATTGTGAAAGATATCAATGGCACAAATTACGCAAGAGTCGAAGACAGCAGTTGTATTCTGAGTGGCGATGCTGGGAGTGAAGAATGATGACTCGAAGACGATACACCTATGCGTCCTTGTGTGCGGTTCTTCATCGATTTGACATCATCTTTTTTCCCTCTCGTCTGCATTATTCGTCTCTCTTCCTCTGGGTTGCATTTCTTTGAAATTTACCTTTGCATCTAATAGTAATATGTACGGATAATTGTCTTTTGCTCGCAGCCAGCTTCGCTTAGGACTCAGTATACTTGACTTCACCACACTGGCATCTTGCAAAAACAAGCTGTACTAAGTCCAGGTTATGATGAATGGTCACCTACAACCGAATTACATCGACAACTCACTCTTGAACTTCAGCCACTCCATCATTGCCCACCTTTTTGACCTGTGCCTTCCTCCCCCCCACCTTTCTGGCCCACTCGATGATGTTCGGAGGAATACCATCCTCGCCTTCCTCCACAACTCCAACAGATCTTGCCTTCCATTGACTTTCCAGGGCCCGCCCCTTCAAGATCCATTTCTTGAAGTGGAACGGCTCATCGCCCTCTTGGAAGAGGTCATCATCGTAAAGAATGCCAGGGACAGATGACCCTTGGACATCCTTATGAGCGGCTTGATCAGAGATGTCGACCTTGCGCACTACAAATGTTGTTTCCTTGGAAAGATTAGTACCAATCACTTTCTCCTGCATCTTGACCCTCACCTTATTGAGAAACAATGCCCATGCCCCACGCATTTGATACGCAAGGACAAAGAGGACAAAGATGCAAAGCCAGAGGAGCGGGTTTTCAAATACAGAACTGGCCCAGCGGCGGTGCATAGACAGCTTCGTCTGGAAATCATGTAACCTCCACGTGCAAGTAACAACAATAGACCTACAGGTTTTGCCCATAGTGTTATGTCTGGGAAATCATCGGATGACCCACAGACAATGAGATGGCAGTCTCCCATGCACGCCATCTGAAACAGAGATATAGAGTGCTGCATTGAAGGCGGAGGTAAAAACTTACATCCAGGGCTTGAACTGGCCCTGATTTCATACAGTCAGTCTTGAAAGCAAGATATCACATAATGGAAGAACACCTCTGCCATGGTTAAGTCGTTGGACAATGCGGCCGCTTTCCAAGTGTATAACGTAGGCTTTGCTTGCTGCACCGCCTGCAGTGGCTATGGCGCCATTTTCGCCAAACTTGATATCAGTCACGATGGGCATAGCGGAATTGACAGGTATTGTCTGCACCAAGGATGCGGTGGTGAGGTTGTAGAGGGCGAATCCTGTGCCTATATTGTGCAGAAGAAAGAGTGTCGCTGTGCTGTTGATGACTGCAGAGCCTCTGGTATCACTACGTCAGAAACTTCCAGAGGGTTGCGACAAATTCAGGCTCACATTGGGCAGTCTAATTGGTGCCTTGACACCATCTCTCCTTTGCCGGAGGATAACGTTGTACTAAAAACTTGGATTAGTTCAGTTTTATCGAAGTGGGCCTTGTCGCATACACATCTCCTGTATTTAGACCAAAGATTAAAAGGTCTCTTCCTAGATTAACAAACGCTGATGAGCGGGGAATCATCGCCGCATTGTTCCGCGACCATTCCTGACGGAAGGTAGCCTTGAAATCTGCATAGGACTAATAAGTGAATATTCTCCGAACCCTATGATGTAATGACTTTGTAATTCAATGCGGTAGGCTCGGATTTCACCGAAGTGGCTGGTCACTGCAAGCCTCTGCGTTGCGCGGTCGAACACCAGCAATTCAACAGGGTCGCTGGAGGCAGAGGTACCCGGAACAGCGGCCATTTCACGGTAGAGCTACAAATTTCCTTGAGTTTCTTCAAATTTGCAGCAAGGGAGTGACATACCCTGCCTGGGGCTCTCCCATAGATGCATACAAGACCCCGACCGGTACTGAAGATTAACCACTCTCCGTCAGAGCCTATGAATGCCATTGCAGTGATTTGACCCCAGCCTTGCCCTTCGTTTACCAAGGTCTGCAAGCATATAGCTTTCTCCGTCGACCAGAGTTTCACGGTTTCATCATCACCTTGTTATGTAACATTAGCATCTTCAAAGTGCGGGTAATGAAAGTGCATACTCCCACTAGCAAGGATTCGCCCATTTGGCGTGAAGGCGAGCGTGTTGATGGCCCCTCGGTGCTCATGCAAACGGGCAACAAGGTGATATCTCTGTGTGAAATTAAGGATGATATATAGAACACCTTGAGACATAACCTACGTCCTGTCGGCGAAAGCAAAGCCCAAGGAATAGCTTAAACATTGCGGTTGCATACATGAGAGCTCCAGTTGCAGTGAATGCAATGCAGAAAAGGATGTGGGAGTTTGTTTGATTGATGTGACTCAAGGATATTCCCCGACATAAGTACTTCATTCACTAATTGTCTTCGCCTTGAAGGTGAGGTTTATTGTGTACCAATCCAACGATGAACCAGGTCTTGTGTCTTGAATGAACAATGAGGCCATTGCAGGGTGCATTGTATGGGTTCCTATCACATTGAAGGCAAACACGACGGAAGATGTCGGGTCGGAAATCATCAAGGGGGTATTATCCTCCAAATACATTTGTCACGGAGGGTCACATTGTTGTCCTTGCGAGGCTGCACAAGGTCATATAGCGTGAAGGAACAATGAATAAAGGCGTTAACGGGGTGCATGAGATACGCTCAGACAGAGAGGAATTAGAAGTTCTGGGTGTAGGTCAGGGTCAAACGACTGTGTGCATGGGGGAAAATAATAAATAAAGCATAAATATCTTGCGATTGGGCGTATCACCCGAAAAATAAGGGCGAACCAAACAGGATGAAGGTTGTCAGCGGGTAAAAGCGAACGAGGGAGGCTGGATGGGGAAAAGGAAATGAGCGCCTCCCAAGGTGGATGAAGAGGTGGTTGATTATACGGGTTTCCTCGTCAAGAGGATTGGATTCGGACAAGAGCATAAGAGGCGGAATACTATCATGTTTCATTTCCATACAGATCTCCTACAGCGATGCGCACTCGAGTCAGAATCCCCCCACCAGCAATCACCCAAAGATCTTCTTTCTCACTGTTCACCGCGAGCGGCGTTCCAATCACCCAGCGGATGGGCTGGGATGTTGTCTTTGGATACTTTCAAGGAGAGCATCAAAGAGAACCCACCACCTCAGAAACAGCGGCGCTGAGACAGATCCTTTCATCCCAACCCATCATCGCCATCCATGCCAATGCTGACGGAAAGATCCCAAAACCAAAGGGAGAAATCCACAAAGCATATTCCTTGGCCGACCTCCGGCTCGACGATGAACTGGATAATATTCGGGTAAGTTCTACTGCAGCCTTACAAGCAAATGAAAACTTACTTGATCGCAAAGAATTTCGTGAACAAGAAGGTCGAGGATAGCCTTGACATGACCATCTCATTTGCGTCAAACAAGAACAGACACCACCGCGAGATCAACAGCATCCACCAGGCTGTCCATAAACAATCACTATCTGATGCTGCCACTACTGACGTTCCTCAGGCCGCCATTGCATTCCCCATCCTCTGCAAGTACAAAGCGATGTGGCCCATCAATGACCTCATCAAACTGAGGCTCAAGTACACGTCGGAAAGGGCACGCACAGCAGCAGCAACCCCTGCAATCGCCAGCGGTAGTGGCATGCATCAGCAGGTTCGTGCTTCCCTTCAAATCTTCCACTTGTGTTAACAATCTTGACTGCAGAGCACTGACGAAGACAACGACGATGAGATCATGGATTCGGATGAGATTTAAGCTTGACATCGGGTAACGAGTTCCTGTAGTAGGGATGTGTACCAGAAACGGACGATAAAAAAAACGTTGGTCCAGCTCCTAGGATAAATCCATGAAAGTTTAATCGAATCCTGCTGCCATAGAGGTAGCCTGGGTAAACCCTGAGCTGCCGGCCATAGAGGTGAAGTGAGCGCTGCAAGTAAGAGTAAAAGAAAGGAAGGTAGTACGGCTGCTACGGCAGGCGGACTCACTGTTTGGCTGCAGATTGTTTGGCACCAGTCTCGTCTACCCACTGCTGGTGCTGCCTTGCTTCCTCACTCAGTACTTGGGTCACTTCATGGCTCCACGGGGTTTACCCCGGGAACCTGGTTCGCCATTCTCTAAAGATCAATCTACAGCTAACTCTCTCTGACTACGGCTATTCTTTGCAAAATGAGAGCATCTTGGGCATGCGCAGCGGGCGACCCTGCCTAGAGCACCCTACAAATCTGCATCATACGTGAGTCCCCATGCCCGCTCTCTTGACAATGGAATCAGCAAAACTTACTTCTTTATCATCCAATCTGACAGGTATCTGTTCTTTGACTGCATGTTCGATACATACATACCCTCAGCAACACCTATGCGCATCACAACGATATCGCCGTGCCAGCTTTTTCCACCAATAAACCTCGACGACCTTATCATGGATGAAGGGCTGCATATCCATCCCAGAGAATACACCCTCAATGAATGGGAAGCGGTTGTTGGACCGGATGTGTGTGAGCACAGGAACAAAAGCTCCCCCTGGGTTTGAAGTCGAGTATATCCTCGCTCGGATCATCAGGCGCGTATGGTAGTGGTGATTACACGGCATACAGGTCAATGGAACTCAGTGCTCACTCTGGTTTTGGGAGACATTTGTTTGCGGGACGATGGCATTCTGGCATCTATCGAGGGTCGCTACCAAACTTGTCTATGTTGCTCTAGGACATATATTTATTTCCCTCTCCCGAAATCTCTCGTTCATGAATTCGGCAATAAAATGCATTAATTCAGTCACATTTTTATGTGCAAAAACTCCCTATCTTCCCTGCACCGCAATCCCCTCCTGGAGCCTCCACCTTTCCCGCTGCGAGTGCATCTGGTGATTTATCGGCCTCTATAGGCCCATTGTTGTACTCGAGAGTCACTCGCCAGTATTACGAACAAATGGTGCCAGCTTCCATCCGCATTGGGATTTTATGAAATCCCTGGCCGTGTGCGCAGACTACCTGCGTTGTCGAATTTCTGGTCCAGATGCTCTCGGTGGAGATATGTATAACAATAGCAAACGGTTGCAAGAAAAACCAATATGGAGCTATGGGTTGCCAAACAGGACAGGACAAAGAAATGAGCGATTCGTTTGTTCTCATACCAGCCTTACGTCCGTGATCCTTTATGAGTAAATCTATCCGAGACTGTGCGACGCTCCATACTCGACGTCGATTGTACTACAGATGGTCCTTGTTCCGAAAAGCGCCACCTTGTCGTAACCCAACCCAATCCATTGTTCGTTTTCCCCACTCGTCTTTCCGAAGAACCTGGGTGATCCGTAGCTATTGTTTGTTCAATGCAGATAAATCTGAAAGTTCTTTGCATCTGGACACGTGTCTACATAAAGCTGGCAGGGATCACATGCAAGGGTCAATTACACTCCGATACTTATGGCCAACCTTTGGAATCTGCCACCCAATCCTTGGTCCGCGTCCCAAAATGGGGATGGGGAAGAAATTGTGCACATTTGATCTTTTTCCACTCTAGCTTGAACTGACTTCAAAGTTAGCTGTCCCCCGCGGTGTCTCTTTCTCTTGTTGGACCTGGTGTACCTGGTCAGTGGCCTGTGCCTGCTACTCATACATACCCGCCATCATTTGGAATGCCTGAAAGTCAACAGTCTGCGATACCTGACCTCCCTAGAGCTCCCATTTTCTGTCTTCATCCAGACAGAGATTCTGAAATGCAAGGCCCTATTGACAACCACGGTCCATCTCAAGCTTTGGGCAATGCTGTAGTCGCGTTGCCGGAGCCCGTTCTTGCCAGTACTCCACAATCCCTTGTTAAGGTTAGTCTTTGCCAAACCTTGGTGATATGACTCTCACAGACATACAGAGGGGAAGAAACCAGGATGATGATAGGAACGAGGAGAAAATAGAGGCAACAAAGGTATTTTCAGCCAAGTATCGCACTATACATCTCCCTCAAGAACTTTCAGTATGTTATATCAGATAATCCGTTGGACTCCCGCAAGAAGAAGGGAAAGGAGGTGACTTCCCATTCTTCTTCCTAGACATGATGATCAATATGGTTGTATGTAGGCAGCAAGACATCTGACCCGAGTGGTGGCGGGTGCGGAATATGATAGCCATCTCAAAGATGCACTGATTCAGCTGCAAGCTGAGGTAACACTTATTCCACTGCAAGGCAACCATGACTGAGGCGTACTTCCTAGACCGAAGCCCTAAGGAATGCAAATAACAAGGGAGATGCGGAGCGTCAGCAGCTCCTCTCGAGAAGTCAAAAACTCGAAAACGACTTAAAGCAGCGAACGGAGGAAGCATGGTTGGCGAAGGTAGCTCTTGCACAACAAGAAACGGAAACTTTGTCCAGGGAGGTATTGGTGATCAATCATTATAGAAGCGCCCGCGATGATTTGGCGGAGAAACTCGCCGCCTTATCGAAAGAAAAGGATGCTCTAGTGGCTTCTTTAGATACCATCAAGACATCAGTCAAATTAGGAAACTCTGTGCCCATCCACATCGCTAACGAACCAGCTGCAGGGGTATCGTCTCTGGCACCCAGTGCACCAACAGCTCCCTCAAACCGAAACGCCACTCCGAATCCCAGTAACGCCTCTGAAACAGCTCCAGCTCCAGTTTCCTCCAGAGGGCCCAATGGAACGATACATGCACCAGATGAAGATGTGGTCATGAATGAGAGTCGCGGTGAAGATAGACACCGCATCTTTTTAGGGGGATTACACCGCAACATGGGACTAAAGAAAGGGAGGCCTGGAATAGGCGGACACGGCGTGAGGAGCTCAGCTTTTATCTTGAACATTCGGATACTCACCTATTCGTGTTTGACAGAGACCGAAAGGAGGAGGAGGTTCTCGACTATTCCTGGCATCGCCAAGCCCTAGTCCAGCCCCACAGCGCCAAGCCATGCCCATGGACAGTCACCGAGCACAATCTTTGGCATCCACAAGTCAGCCACCGCTTCCTATGCCTGGGCAACTATTGTCGAGCCGCTTCCCCCGTATACCAACAAATGACCCTTCTCGACGATTTCCTCTCCTACCGGAGGACCCGCTGGTTAACTCTGTCCCTCAGCATCCTCCACTGAATCAACCACCGATCACAGCCCAGTACCATATGCTGGATAACGAAAACTACCAGCCTCGCCAACGACAAAGTACTGCTCCTGTATGGCCTGAACATCCAGTGCCGCTGACAAGGGACGAAAATTGGCAGACTAATCCGCCTCTTCATTCCTCGGCTTGGCACCGCAACCAGTCAGCTCCTGCCTCAACTCCATCAGGAGGTGCTTCAGGTGACCCTGAGGACCCTAGGCTCGACGTCCTGATGGGTATGGTGGTAAGACTGACGCAAGCCGTGAGTTTAATTCAGAAGGGTGACAAGGGAAGAACTCCAGGAAGGAAAGGGCCTGTAGTGTTCCGTCAACCTCCTATTCGTGACCGCAATGAGTTCAGAACGGTACTGTTGGTACGTTGTTTGACTTTGCCGCCATTCCCCGCCAACATTATGAATACAGGGAGCCGTCCGTAAGGAAATGAACGGGCTAATGAAAATCCATCGCGACATCGAAGTGATCGATGCACCCAGAGCCTCCATTGAGGAAGTATCAGGCCATACTTCCAGAGGAGAGCCTGTCCCAAGTCTGCTAGACTTTCGTGTGTATTGGCCCCAGCTTGACGTCGACTGGAATCTAGAACTGGAGCAGCACTTTATGGAGGCCTTTGGGCAGAAATACCCATTGTTAATGACAGGCGAGCAATCAGAACAAACGCTACAGCAAATGTTCTATGACCGTCTCAGCAGGTTAAAAAAGAAGCGGGCAGAATATGGGCATCAAGAAGGAGAGAGTGCGGAACAACATCAAGCACGGGTGCTTGAGCAGCTTGGCTACACACAAGACCGACAACAGCTCAACACCCGAAGAGCGACGGTGTGTATTCCTGGTTTCTATATCAGATATGCGACCACTAAGGGATGTCCAGACTTTTCATGACAGGGAGGAAATCTGCAGTGGGAACTTGGTACAAAGTGACGGAAGGAGGGATCCTGCCTGGGGGACACTGCACTGGATGATAACTCAGCTGGGGGCTGGAGGAATGAGCTCGGATGAGAGTGACACAGATGAAGGCGGCAAGGAAATGTACCGCATAAAGCGCCTGCCTTGGCGAAACCCAAAGATCGTGGAGTACATGGAAGTCATCGACGCGGATTACAATGATGTAAATGCCTACGGACACAGAAGGGCTGGAAATCTGCGGCGAACGCGGATCCGGGACGAGGATATTGAGAGCAGTAGAGATGCGATAAAAGGATATCCCATCAATTTTTATGACAAACGATGGTATGACGACCTGTCGGCTCGACAACGTATTGCCCTCGAGGCGACTCCCGAGGTACCTCTACTTGAGTTCTCCTATGAAGCGCCTTAAAGCAAGAAATTTGTATGAAATAGTAGTCCTGTAATTGCTCTACCTTCCGTCGCTTACGTACTAGTCCAAATATTGAAATGTATTCCCCTCGCTCCTCAAGTCAGTACCGCCACGTCTTGGCCACGTCAAGCCGTTTCTTCACGTAGCTCCCTTGCTTCAGCCATGCCATAACCAAAAACCTCTGCTTTTCACCCACTTCAAAGCATCCTATAGAAAAATGACTGTCTGTAAGACCTCGTTGCGATCTGATTCTTCTAGAGTTTTTTGACTCGCTCTGCCAAACCAAGGCGAAGAACTACAATGCGCTGAAGATCATTGACTTCTGTCATGTGGAGGTCGAGCTGGTGTATGCGATCATCTTGCATTATTTGGGACGTGCTAAAACATTTGAATACGAAACCTGTATTGAAGAGCATACATTCCGCTCACAGGTTCCGAGTCCTATGTATATAGGATACTCGGTTATTCTGAACTACCCATGGGAAAATCTATTTGGGGTATCAATTCATCACGGCTTTTGCCGGCCTGGCTACCTTCGTTGACGGCGTTTGCTGGTCTCGTTGGCGGTCGTTGGCGGTCTGTCTACCTGACGATGCTGTGGAAAGTTTTCTATTCGTTCCCCCTTGTCGCCATCTTGTTCTGTCAACGGTTGAATATCCACCCGTCCTTTCTTTTCCGTCTTCTCTCTGTTTCTGTTGCTGTGGATCTGTTCTATCCGTTCTCCTCCGTCATCTTGTGTTTATTTTCTTTTCCTCTTTTCTTTTATTTCTTATTGTTTTCGTCACGTTGTTCTCTCTTTATGTTCTGACCTTTTTTTTACTCGGTAATATATTTCTGGCTCGACTGGTCACAATGTTTTTTTGCGGCTTGTACTACATTTCGGTGCTCAACATGCCGTCCTTTTCTCCCGTCTCTACATCGTCCTGATGCCTCTTCGACTTCTCCTGCGTCAAGTTTGTTGCAATCATGAATGACGAAGCTGTCGTCAAGATATACAAGACCTGCTCAAAAGTCAGCAAACGCTGACTAAGGGGAAAAAAAGTCGAGAGACGCTTACATCCACACTTCCCTCAAAGGTTCTGCGTCCGTTTTGCTCCTGTCGACAGCCCTGTCCTCCTGAGGCAAGTGGAAGAGTCGATTGGTTTACTTAGTCTGCAGCGCCGCCTCTGTCGGACTATATCCTTGTAATCCATGAGAGCGCCGCATATATGAAGCTGGAGACCTTCGAAGATGAGGAGCCGATTGGTTCATGTCAAAGGCTTTGCAGCGCACTGAGCACATTCTTGTAATCCATGAGAGCAGCGCATACATGATCCAGGAAACAGCGATTCGTGAACGTGAACACCCAGCCCAGCCCGTATACCATCCTGATAGCATGGAAGTTCGCTATGCTATGGTGCGGAGAAGCTCAGGGGCTGATATGTACTCATCAAAGCCATCGTAAAGAAAGGGATGTGACTCGTAATAGCGGATGCGGAAAGCTTGCTATAACGGGAGGGACCAGTTCCAGAAGAGGTACCTATAAACAAATCAACATACATTGAAAAGAGGATAATGGCTAACACACTACCTTGCGTCAAATCCACAAACTACCACCAATTGCAACAGAATGAGTGGGTACCAGAAATGAAATCAAGACTCCCTCAGCTGCTGGATTCGAATGGACATAACATTCCACTGAGGCGTTAGTCACCGATCCCTTCCCAGTTTCAAAATGATCATTGAACAGGAAATTCCAGCTAAACGAAATGGAAAGGCGGAGGAAAGATGAGCTGAACGACAATCTCAATTATTGTTCCACAGGGAGAAGTGGATGATAATGGTAATAGCGAATCACACATAAACAACTCGTCCACCACCCACCAGGCAACGGTTCCGGCCTCTAACTTCGACATCAGCCGGAATACCTTAGCTCAGCTCAAAAACTAGGCAGAAAACAAACGACCTTGGATTAGTCAAACATCAGTAACTGTATATTAAATATCAAGGAGAAAGACATCTCTACTTTGTCCTAGCTCAAGAAGCCATCTGGCCAAATCATTTTCCCAGATTGGCAGAGATTGGTCCATCCCTCTGAATGCTGAACGTGAATACGTAGACAGGAGGGGCACTTCCAGGACTGTTGGATATTATTAAGAAAGGAGGTCTGGCTGCGACCCCAGTGACGGTTCAAACATGGGCATCTCCCTGGGTGCCGACATCATTTTCACTACCACTGACAACTATCCAACAAGAAAGTCAGTAAACACCGAATAGAGGATACCGACAAAAAACGAACCTATACATGCCTTCTTTCTCCTGAAAAAGGGCGCGCCCCCTTCCCTAGTATGCCTTACACCTTGGAATGCTCGATTCCGGTAGTGAAGCTCGCCAGCTGGTGAGTATCACGCCCATCATTCATCCTATCCATGCGTGCATAGGAAGGACTTGATCATCTTCTTGAGGGTAATTTCCATGAGGACCCCCAGCTCAGGTTATGGAACGTGAACAATATGAGCATGAACAGATGCGTGTAAGAATGAGAATGAGAATGAAGGGCCGTTTGAGGATGCGATCCCCAGAACACGTCTCTTTGCCAGCAGCACACTGAGCATATTCTTGTCAGCTAAGTATGCACTGAAATCCATGAGTGCGCACGATTGAGGCTGTGGAACGGCGCACAAGGGAAGAATGCCAGGATTAGAGGGTTGACATGCAGGAGGGAAGATAACATGAGTATTGAGTGCAATTATGATGAGTGCACCTATAAGATGCGAACAATGAGCTAGACACCACTTGAGCAGATCACGGAGAAGGGAACAAAGATGCGACTTCAAGCTTCAAGCGTCATCCATACGTCGGCGCCTGCAGTCTGTGCATGCTTGCGGTTGCGACAGCCATCGTCAGCACAATACAAAACCTGCTAAAAAGTCAACAAACACTGACAAGGAAAACAACACCAGCACTACTTATGTCGACGCTTCCCTAACCCATTTCAGCCAATTCGAAAACCCTGTCCTCACCAAGCGACTGATCAGTCTACTCTGCAGCACCGTCCCTTTGTCTTTGTAGTCCTTGAGAGCGACGCATACGTGACCCAGGACACCATGTCTCTCAAACATAATACCAAGCTCGAGTAAACAAGAGCCTGGTCATTGGTTGCTCCACTGGCTTTTTGCTTGCAAGGAGGACGTCAATCAGGCTGTTGAAGTTGTCCAAAGGAAGCGACACAGGACATGAGAAGCTCGCTGTGATGGGGAGCACCAGCTCCAGACCTGATACCTGGCGCCGTGCTGAACATGGCAGGGTAGCGGACCTCGCTACAGTCCGTGTTTGCTAACATCTGAATAGACGACTCAGGGCAAAGAGGTACAGAAATGAATGGATACCAAAAATCATTGCTCGCGCAAGACTTTGGCATAGCGAAACGAGAAGGCGACAGGGAGGGGAGTCGTCTTGAATTCAGAAGGAAGATGGAGATAGTATGGCAATAGCAAATCATAGATGACTCATTGACATCACCTTGAAGTGACGATTTGCCATCTAATCCCGCTGGAAACCTTGACATGGCTTGCAACGGCTTTGTTTGGTTGGTAGGGTTGAAAGACTAGTCAAGTATTAGGAACTGCAGGCATCGAGAAGAAAAGCCAATCTACCTCGACGGCATCATCATGACGGTCTGGCGAATCATTATTGTGCTGCCCACTTGGCCCACTAATAATAGGTCATGCTCTGAACCTCCAGACGTTGCCAGGATGGAAGTTTGGTTGCAGCTCCTGACTTGATGGTTCCAGTGTAGGCGCGACGGCGTCTTGATCTTCAGCTTCAATTCTCCCAATGAGGACCCTGCCAAAACGTCAGTAAACGCCAAAAGAAAGGATACCTGACAAGACACATACCAGAACCTGACGGTGCGCCCGATTCGCCTGCATCTACCTGACACGTCAACACCTCCGAGAATCATCTCGTTCCAGTTCCTGAAGCTCTTCAATTGGGGGTCAGTTCTCATCCCATCCATGCGGGGGAACGGAACGTTGGGAAGGGCACGTGGGAGTAAGTGTTTCACATGGTTATGAGGATGCCTTAGCTTGAGATATGGAATGCAAAGGAACGGCACGGGCAGGTATTGGAGGCCGCAGTCGAGGGGTGCGAATTAGGTCATAGAATGTTCTCGGCGCCATATCGATATCCAGGAAGGTTGTTGCGGTTATGAGCATCGTCGTCAACACCAGTGAAGACCTGCTGAAAAGTCAGCGAACGCTAACGAGGGAACAATGTCGAGAGATGCACCAGCACTGCCGTAGTCACCTTATCCATCTTGCTCAAACCAAACCCCTGCCTGTACATGCTCCATCGAGTAGATAGCTATAGCTCTGTGTTGTAGTGAAGCGAGCCGATTGGTTCACGTTCATGTTAATGAACATGAAAGGGTTCTGTATCGCCTTCCTTTTGTCAGTAGTACATCCTAGGATCCATCTGCTGAGATGCGTGAGTTCGTGATAGTGGAGACTGTCGAGCATTGCATTGTTGGGTACGACCTGGGTGCCAAAAAAAAATAGAATAAGCTTCTCTGACATAAAGCTAAGAGCCCGAGCTTGCTTACGTGTGATAATCATCTCGATGATGGAAATACAGAGAGAAAATCACGAGTAACCGACGCTTGGCTCATGGCAGTGGATGAAAAGCAACGTGTGATGATGTTTGTTTGTTTGGGGCCTTTTGCTTGCTGGCCTCGAGATTTCGGATCATCCTTTCTCCGGCTCTTTGCTCTCCCTCTCGATCGCCAGAAGGGTCACCGATCACTCACGGTTCATCCTGGATGGTGGGTAGAAGAAGGCTTGTTTCATTATGGACAAGAACCAACAGATACAAACATTTCGCGGAGAAAGACGCGTAGCTGATGGGAACCTCATTGCGCTTTGGAGACCCAGCCCATGTCATGCGATGGGCTGACATCACTTGAGCGGATGTTCAATAGCAGCAAGGATGATAACGGGACCATAGAGAAGGGACCGACTGCAGGCTTCATCCCTAGGTTCAGATTTGAACGTCAACGCCGGGTATCAGTCCAGCTCGAAGACAACACACAAAAAAGGAAACATAGTATCCAGAAACCTTGACACGATGAGGAACGACGAAGCCTTAGTGACTGGTCATCACCCCCAATAAAGACCTTCTAAAAAATCAGGGAATGACGACCAAGGAAAACAACACAGAGAGACGCACCAGCACTACCTCAAATCAGCCTACATATACTCATCCTTATACTCCGCATCCAATTTTCTCGAAGCCGCGTCGAGTAGAAGAGGCGGTGCAGTGAAGAGGCCGATTGGTTCACGCCAAACAAGGGCTCATCTTGTCAGCGCCTTTCTCCTTTTCGTGAGCTGCTCCCAGGATCCAGAGCGTATGCGATCCGGGAGACTGCCACATTCACCATCAAGTCTATGATGAACGCTGATGTTGAAATCAAGCCGATCCGGTGAGACTTTCTCCTACACGCACTGATCACTTCACAAGATCCCAGCTAAACGAAACGAGAAGACGACAGGGAGGAGCGACCAGCTGAACAACAAGCAAGGTTGTCATTCAACAGGGAGAGGAGAATGATATGGCAATAACGAATCATAATGACTCGTTCACCATCAGATGATGATTCCGCCCTCTAATCCATGCCAGCCGGAATATCTTCGCAAGACTAGGTCAAACAGCTCAGTGGGTATAAACATCGAGAAGAAAACTCGGTCTACCTCATAAAATCACGAGCTCCAGGCGAGCAGTGCAGCAGTTGAACCTCTATACTGGAAGAACGGTGCCAGGATCATTACAGGAAAAGGAAGGTTGGCTGCGACATCCTACTTGACATTCCTGGCATCAGCTCGTGATAGTCAGCTTCAGCTCCTGTACTCCCCACGATAGCCTTGTCAAAATGTTCAGGAAACGCCTAAGAAATGATATCTGACGGGACACATACCAGAACCTGACGTGCGCCTGATCCGCCTCACCCTCGAGAATCACCTTGTGTATCCCGTTCCCCAGTTCCTCAATTAGGGTTCGGATCTCGTCCCAGGTTTGTGGTGTTGGAACGGACGGAGGGAGTAGTACGAGCGCAGGTATACCGAAGACATCCAGCTCTGGTTATGAGTGGGAGGTGTACGTGACTTGGTGGGACGGCATGCACAGGGCATTGAAAGAGGTGGTCGAGATGCAACTCAAGCTGTAGAATGTTCTCGGCATCGTATCGATGTCCAGAAGCTCGTTGTGGTCAGGAACATGGTCGTCAGTATACGCGTGACCTGCTAATAAGTCAGTGAACGCTAACGAGGAGGTACAATGTCGAGAGACGTACCAGCACTGTTGTATTCGCTTTCATACACTGATTATCTCTCTTTCCTGCATCGCATCCTTGGCCATATGCGAGTAGAAGACGCCGTGTTGCAGTCAGCGAAGAGGGCTGGTTGGTTCATGTTAATGGGCTCTGTTGTCTATAGCAGCGCCTCCCTCTTGTCAGTAGCACATTAAGCGCAGATCCAATCTGCATCAGCCCTTTCCCGGACAGCTCGATCGTTCACTTCTTTCGCTTCCCTTTTGAGATTATCGTTGGACTGTGCAGATATATCAATCCAAGAAGGTGCATGATGAAGGCATGCAACGTACTTCCTGTTAGGATTCTGCCAAAATCTGGGTACGCGAGCACGAGGCGAGGAGTGTGATCGAAGTGAGGTAAGAGTAATTAGAAATGATGTATGTCGTTAAGAAATAGAACGGATTCCAGCGAGGGTTCGTGAGGAGACCCGAGTGGTCTGGTTTGCGAGATAAAGGATACTAGTAAGCGCGAAGCAATTACTAGAGGGAAATAGCCAGTAAGCATGGAGCAATTACCGATATAGAAAGCCTGTAAGCGCGAAGCTATTATGGGCTGTGGATGAAGGCAAGCGCTAAGCGTAACCTTCGGGTTGGTATTGGAAAGCGCTAAGTGTATCCAATGAGTTGTTCAGCAAGTGCTAGGCATAACTGAGGGTTCACGCAGTGGTGGTAAGTTGAAAGTAATAGATTGGCTAAGATTCTCATCCAATGGTTCTCTACAAATTTATATACTAAGGAAAGGTTCGAGTCATTATTATTCTACAATGTTCCGTAATATTCTAGTATCAGTAAGAAGAATAGAGAATGCAAGAGAAGATAAGAGAAATTATGAGCGAGTCACTGTTAAAACCGAGGAGGCCGAGTATGGGCATGTGTTGACTCATGCACTGAATCAACGGATACCCAATATCCATAACACTTCCAAGAGCTCCACTTCAGTCATATGCCGGTGATGTCACGACATATCAAGGCAACAATCAGCACAGACAGAGTAGGAGAGCAAGAGATAAACAATGAGTAAAAGAACAGACGGAAGACAACGAGGGGTGCGATCACGCACAGAAGCCTTTCATGTTCGATCTTTCTATTTCCCACGGGATACTCAGCGCTTCTTTGACTTCGTCTGATCGGTCAAATTCTCCCTTCCATGCCTATTTGTCTACTAATTTAGCTGGTATAAAAATAAAAATAAAAATACATAGGACTCAGACCTGCCACGCGGATGCGCTGGCCCTCACCAACTAGTTGGTCAGCCTCTAGTCAACATGTTGACTGTGCGTTATCAGCACATCAAGAATGCTCACCTAAAGCACGTCCTTGTCAAAGGTGTCAATCCATGGATGGATCCAGATGATTTTTTTAGGCTATCTCCGAATTACACCAGCACGTTGAATAAATGGAAGGAGGAAGACTTGGAAATCGAACTTGTAGCTTGCTGGGATGAAGGGACAATCGACCTTTTGGACGATGTGGAGTAAAGAATCATGTTTGCTGGAAGGAGTACTGGAGTACTCACTACCAAGGTAGCGGGAATATAACAACTACCGGCGTTCTGTTTTCTCATTTCTGCCCCATAGTACTATCATCATTCCATTACAGAGATTTGTTGTCTCAGTATATCCAACACATATAGTATCATATGGAAATACAGTAAAAAGACAAAGCAGAACCACATCACAGAGGCTTACTTTGATAATACGCAGAGCGGGGCTACGAAACAGGCGGAAGTCGACACAGGGTGTCCATAGATTGAAAAAAGGGCAAATAAGACAGGGATCGCAGTAAAGGGATAGTGATAGGAGAAAAGAAGTATGTGGCACACTTTATAAGCAAGCAATTAACAGTTTTCCAATCGCCAGCTTTGGATGGTCGATTACGCAGCGAGACTCCTCGAAGACTCCTTCTGGCGCAGTGAGCAGTAACCCCTTACCCCAGCTTGCAGACTTTGACAATTTGCTGGAATTTACAGCAGCAATCCTACACGGTGGTCCTTAGCTTAGAAGAAAGTTGAAACTTAAAACCAGAAACGTCTACTCACGATAGCAGAACACCTGCCGGACCCCGGTGCATTGCAGCAGCACAAACATCGTCACCAAGAATGCTCTGGGGGTACGTCCGACCGTCCCAAGTCTGGATGCAAAAATCAGATACGAAAGTGGTTGCCGACATGAGAAGTACGTACATTGCACCCGTGCACCCTCCACCCGAGTTCCACAGAAATAGAATAGAATAGCACCACATTCAAGACGCCGTGTCCTTGCTCATCGGACGTCGATAGGTTGTGGCAGGGCGAAGGTTGTTGTCTGAGAATACGCGTGTACGAGTCTTGAAGTCTTGAAGCCTGAAATTGAATCTTGACACTTGACAGTGTACTCAATGATTAGTAAAAAGGCGGTCATAGGCGTGGCAAGGACATACCACATTTTCGCAACACATGCTTGCGAACATCTACTTTAGTGCTACATTTCCCAAAGACCTCAATGACATTGTACCCCTCCTCGCCGAACATGTAACTTACAGCGAATATTGAGGTATCTTCCGTTTGACAAGGAATTTGGTGGTGTCGGACCATGTACCAGTGTTTGAAGGCGACAGCGAGGTCGGAGCTTTCGAAAGTGGATCTAGCACGAAGCTCGTGGTACACTCTGTAAAATATGAGTGAGAACAAGTAGAGTGACAAACGACATATGTACTCACGACGGTGTTCGACGTTGGTGCAGACGAGCACGGGACTTGCTTTTACAGTCTCTGCATGGGAGTCAACGGCATGGCAATAGATGAAGAGGCCGTACAAGCATGTATCATAGTTATCACCTCGAAAGACAATAGCTCCATCAAATGTGGTATTTGCGGACCGCAGAGAACGTCCTTGTCACAACAAGGCCGCTCCCACTACCAAGGGCGGGAAAAACGCACCAAAAGTGTACTGAACATCATCTTAGTGTTCGCTCTCCCATGTCATGCCTAGAGTAAGCATCCTTCTGAAGATCAAGCTCTCGGGCCAAAGAGAGCAGAACGGACATCTGTCTGCAAAGGGAATATTGGCGCACACTTGAGCTGATTGATCTGGCACTGTCTCACTTACTCCTGGTTAATATGGTGAATAACTTCCCAATTTTCATCGCAGAAACGGATGACTTTCCATAACGATTTGGAGTTCCAAAAGGGCTTTCAGATGTATATTAAAATTATTTAGAATCCAAGTATCGTAGATTTTCAAACCATAACACCGTTATCCTTGACCTTGTAGATTCTGAAATAAACAGTTCTTTGCCCGATCTTGATTTGCTCTGCTTTTGGACTCTGACCACATGGACGACACGGATAGGAATGGCGGCCATCCTCAGTGGTGAAGAACTGGAGTTCCTGGGGGTGGACAGGATCAGACATAGAGAATATAAATATCAGCTAGTGCTTCAAGGAGGTGCTGAAAAAGACAAAAAATGCCCGCACTTTATATTGGCAAGAACACATCACCACTCAGCGAAATTACATGATGACGGGATGCAAAGTCTCTGTAGGATACATCTTTTCCCAAACATCAGAGTCCCACCCTTCATTATCTCCCACAAAATTGCGACAGGATGAGCAAAGGGTGTCACTAAATAGAATGTTATTGGCCAGCAGACAGGACAAAACCGGGGAAACTGACAGGAAACTGATCTGAGGGCGAATTGGTGAGCATCCTCAACATTTTCACGGTCCAACGGTGTGTCGGGAGGATGGAAAAGTACAAGTTCAGTTAAATTACTGCCAGCTAATTAAGGAGCGCGTCGTCGCCGCGTCTGATTGGAATTGAAAGAAAATTGAAATACGGCATCCCAAAAGAGGAAGCTGGCATTTGGAACAGGTTTGGATGACAGTTTGAAGCTGGAAGAGGGCACACCAAAAAAAATGAAATTTCAGCTGAATTTCTAATTGTCCAAAACTAAATAAGAAACTGGTGAGATACCATATATAGGTATGCACCCTCTCCCGCCCTAAGGCGGGATGAAGCGGGATACCTATATATGGGTGTTTCTTAGTTTTGGAATTAGTTTCTGACGAACAAAGACTCGGCTGAAATTTTACTTTTTTTGGTGTGGGGGTCCGAGGCCTCATCCAGATAGGTGGTTTGGAAGTGGGTCGAACGATCCTGAAATTTTTGAAACAGCTTACCAATCGCACCGGCATGTCGGCAAGTCACACTCTAGAACAAAATCTGACCATTCTAAACGTTATGGAAAGTCATCCAATATCAGGCTGTCTTGGTTGTATCTTGGACTAGTTCATTAAAGATGAAAGAGAGGAGGAACGTGGTGGGGAGGGTGTCATTCGGAGAAGTCGGTCAGTCCTGCGAGGTGCTGGTGACTAATACCTGCAAAGAATTCAGAAAGAGAATGGCAGTCAGCCGCCCGGCATTGAGGCCATCGCGTGCCGCATGCTTGCCGTAAACCAGCCCGATAAAGACAGATATAATTGTTCATGCCATCTCAATTGCAGGTAATTTGAGCTCGTTGAAACCTCAAACACAACTATCATTTGACAACTTTTTATGGTCATGAAAAGATGGATCCATTGTCTGTAACAGTCTCCTTAGGCTTCAGACTTTACCTCAAGCCCAATCATCACTCAGGTCATCCGACAGGATGTCTGGCCCCTCCCTCTCCTGCTGCTGAGGTGACCAGCTGCCATATTTTGGCCTATAATAAAAGTTCACACAGCCTTCCTGCCTCTTCTGCTCCCTCTCTATCTCTTCAACGCATTGCTTCAATGCTGCAACCATTCTGACCAACTTGGCAACCTTCACGTCCTGGACAGCTTGTACAGGGCTTGAGACCGCCCCATACAAAATATTGCCTTGCCTCATTGGTCTTTCAGAGGGACTTTGGGCAGGGATGGCCTGATCAGGTTGGGATGCCGGTATCCAGCACGTCGCTATAGTAGGAGGCGGATTCCTCAAGTGAATATCATGGCTAGGAACTGTTGGGAGCCGTTGCAGAGTAGGAGGGAGACCGTACAAAGGATTTTCGGGTGTCAGAAGAGGTGGTGAATGATCACAGACACCCTTGCTCTGCAGTAGAGGTGCTTCCATCACGGGGGCCGACTCTCGGGACTTGCTTCCTTCACGTTCGAGCAACTCGAGCTCCTGGTTTCTGACCCTGAGCTGTAACAGACTCTCCTTTAGGTGATCTCACTCCATGGTTAAGACAGCAACCTGGGACTTCCAATCATCCTGAGGGATTTTTCCTTCCATCTGCCTTGTCTCCTTGTTCTGCATCGGCGCCTGCGCCTGCGCCTGGGGCAAATTCGTTCTCAGGAGTTCTTCTCGCAGTATCTGTTATTCTATACCAATAAGACATGAATAGAGCTTCGTTGACGGATGTACCTGAGGTAATATGTCCGTGCGGATATGCCCAGCACAGCTTGAGTCTCCCTCAGCAAGGGCGGGCTGTTTTCCCTTGGCGTTCAGCAGCAGTCGTGCATCTCCATCTGAGGCCTGACAAACAAAACAATCAATTCCAATGCTCTAGTGATCGACAGCGAGAGGTATACTTCATTTACATTGATTCTCTCTACATCACCTGCATCCTCTGCACTCCTTCTTCTCTGCAAATAAATGAAGTATGTGGAGTAGGGACGGGGCAATAATGAATACCTTGTTGGCTAGTGGAATGGCCTCTGCAGCGAGGTCCTGCGAGATCATCTTCTGATAGGAGGAGACAGAGTGCGTGATGGGCACCGCTTGGAGGGAGGTGATTCTCCGTGATGTAAGTAACTGGGCTGGTAAACCAGGTTCAGTCATCAATTCAGAGGTACGGCCGGAGCTTTGCTGTCGGGGTGTGGATCAGACACAGCACCATGACAGTGGAATGATTTACTCACTGCAGTTACAATGGAGGAGGGGATGAAAGACTGGAGCTTGTTCTGTTGAGAGCGAGACATGATAGTACTACAACAAAGCAGTACACCTCGACCCACCAGCTTTATACATACTGCCAACAGGCTTCCAGATGCAAAGAACGTTCAGATTTATCTGCATTCTACACACAATAGCTATGGATCTCCGAGTTACTTCGGAGAGACAAGTAGGGAAAACGAACAATGGATTGGGTTGGGTTACGACAAGGTGGCGCTTTTCGGAACAAGGACCATCTGTAGTACAATCGACGTCGAGTATGGAGCGTCGCACGGTCTCGGATAGATTTACTCATAAAGGATCACGGACGTAAGGCTGGTATGAGAACAAACGAATCGCTCATTTCTTTGTCCTGTCCTGTTTGGCAACCCATAGCTCCATATTGGTTTTTCTTGCAACCGTTTGCTATTGTTATACATATCTCCACCGAGAGCATCTGGACCAGAAATTCGACAACGCAGGTAGTCTGCGCACACGGCCAGGGATTTCATAAAATCCCAATGCGGATGGAAGCTGGCACCATTTGTTCGTAATACTGGCGAGTGACTCTCGAGTACAACAATGGGCCTATAGAGGCCGATAAATCACCAGATGCACTCGCAGCGGGAAAGGTGGAGGCTCCAGGAGGGGATTGCGGTGCAGGGAAGATAGGGAGTTTTTGCACATAAAAATGTGACTGAATTAATGCATTTTATTGCCGAATTCATGAACGAGAGATTTCGGGAGAGGGAAATAAATATATGTCCTAGAGCAACATAGACAAGTTTGGTAGCGACCCTCGATAGATGCCAGAATGCCATCGTCCCGCAAACAAATGTCTCCCAAAACCAGAGTGAGCACTGAGTTCCATTGACCTGTATGCCGTGTAATCACCACTACCATACGCGCCTGATGATCCGAGCGAGGATATACTCGACTTCAAACCCAGGGGGAGCTTTTGTTCCTGTGCTCACACACATCCGGTCCAACAACCGCTTCCCATTCATTGAGGGTGTATTCTCTGGGATGGATATGCAGCCCTTCATCCATGATAAGGTCGTCGAGGTTTATTGGTGGAAAAAGCTGGCACGGCGATATCGTTGTGATGCGCATAGGTGTTGCTGAGGGTATGTATGTATCGAACATGCAGTCAAAGAACAGATACCTGTCAGATTGGATGATAAAGAAGTAAGTTTTGCTGATTCCATTGTCAAGAGAGCGGGCATGGGGACTCACGTATGATGCAGATTTGTAGGGTGCTCTAGGCAGGGTCGCCCGCTGCGCATGCCCAAGATGCTCTCATTTTGCAAAGAATAGCCGTAGTCAGAGAGAGTTAGCTGTAGATTGATCTTTAGAGAATGGCGAACCAGGTTCCCGGGGTAAACCCCGTGGAGCCATGAAGTGACCCAAGTACTGAGTGAGGAAGCAAGGCAGCACCAGCAGTGGGTAGACGAGACTGGTGCCAAACAATCTGCAGCCAAACAGTGAGTCCGCCTGCCGTAGCAGCCGTACTACCTTCCTTTCTTTTACTCTTACTTGCAGCGCTCACTTCACCTCTATGGCCGGCAGCTCAGGGTTTACCCAGGCTACCTCTATGGCAGCAGGATTCGATTAAACTTTCATGGATTTATCCTAGGAGCTGGACCAACGTTTTTTTTATCGTCCGTTTCTGGTACACATCCCTACTACAGGAACTCGTTACCCGATGTCAAGCTTAAATCTCATCCGAATCCATGATCTCATCGTCGTTGTCTTCGTCAGTGCTCTGCAGTCAAGATTGTTAACACAAGTGGAAGATTTGAAGGGAAGCACGAACCTGCTGATGCATGCCACTACCGCTGGCGATTGCAGGGGTTGCTGCTGCTGTGCGTGCCCTTTCCGACGTGTACTTGAGCCTCAGTTTGATGAGGTCATTGATGGGCCACATCGCTTTGTACTTGCAGAGGATGGGGAATGCAATGGCGGCCTGAGGAACGTCAGTAGTGGCAGCATCAGATAGTGATTGTTTATGGACAGCCTGGTGGATGCTGTTGATCTCGCGGTGGTGTCTGTTCTTGTTTGACGCAAATGAGATGGTCATGTCAAGGCTATCCTCGACCTTCTTGTTCACGAAATTCTTTGCGATCAAGTAAGTTTTCATTTGCTTGTAAGGCTGCAGTAGAACTTACCCGAATATTATCCAGTTCATCGTCGAGCCGGAGGTCGGCCAAGGAATATGCTTTGTGGATTTCTCCCTTTGGTTTTGGGATCTTTCCGTCAGCATTGGCACGGATGGCGATGATGGGTTGGGATGAAAGGATCTGTCTCAGCGCCGCTGTTTCTGAGGTGGTGGGTTCTCTTTGATGCTCTCCTTGAAAGTATCCAAAGACAACATCCCAGCCCATCCGCTGGGTGATTGGAACGCCGCTCGCGGTGAACAGTGAGAAAGAAGATCTTTGGGTGATTGCTGGTGGGGGGATTCTGACTCGAGTGCGCATCGCTGTAGGAGATCTGTATGGAAATGAAACATGATAGTATTCCACCTCTTATGCTCTTGTCCGAATCCAATCCTCTTGACGAGGAAACCCGTATAATCAACCACCTCTTCATCCGCCTTGGGAGGCGCTCATTTCCTTTTCCCCATCCAGCCTCCCTCGTTCGCTTTTACCCGCTGACAACCTTCATCCTGTTTGGTTCGCCCTTATTTTTCGGGTGATACGCCCAATCGCAAGATATTTATGCTTTATTTATTATTTTCCCCCATGCACACAGTCGTTTGACCCTGACCTACACCCAGAACTTCTAATTCCTCTCTGTCTGAGCGTATCTCATGCACCCCGTTAACGCCTTTATTCATTGTTCCTTCATGCTATATGACCTTGTGCAGCATTGGGCACAAGAACATGAATCTGACCTTCTGTGACAATGACAATTGCGGAAACAGGTACTTATACAGGAGATTATCCCTGAATCTTAAGCCATCGATATCCAATTCGACCACCTCTTTCACATTGTGTCCACTGCAACTGAAGCACTTATTGCCATGGCATTCCTAGACCTTTGCTTTCGACGCCACGTAAGTCATGGTTCACGGTCTGTAATACCAAGCTTACTTTTGACCCAGGTATATCATTCTGTTGCTCGTTTGCATGGGCATCGAGGGGCGATAAACGCCCTTGCCTTCATGCCAAATGGACTAGTCCTTGCCAGTGGGAGTACGTGCCTTTATTACCCACATTTCAAGCTATGCCAACCATATTTTTGACTAGGCGATGACGAATCCATTAAACTCTGGTCAACAGGGCACGCCATCTGTCTGCAAACCTTGATTGATGGACAAGAGAGTTTCGGAGAGGTTAAGGCTCTTTGTTTCATAGGTGCCGACGGGCAATGGCTTGTCTCCGGAACTGGCCGAGGTCTGGTATGTGTCTACGAACGGACCTTAGGAGGGGTAGGTGGATTGTGACACATGAAGTTCGGAGCTCACAGAGAATGTAGCGTTACTACCAAACGACTTCCGTCCTTGGCACGTCCGCTTCCAATGACCCCGTTGAATCTCTTGCCTTCGACCCGGGATCCCGATGTCTCGCGGTGACCAGCCATAATGGAGCCATTGTCGTATACAATCCTGACTTCACTGGTAAGAAATGGTGCAGTGGCGATGGTATTTCACTCACCGTTTCCTCCGTAGGAATTCGAGTTGCACTGCGCATGCAATGGTCAAGCGATGTTGCCCCCATGATTCCTCGATCCTGCGCCTTTGTCAGTGCCGGCAAGGATCTCTTTGTTTTTGGTCTCAATACTGGGGATATGTGCGTTACAAACCCCACCAGATGAACTTGAGCACTGAATGATGCTATCAGAACAACGCTGTCAGCGACCACAGGGGAGATGGTTTCCAGGCATCACCTGGGATGCCCCATGTGAGGCTTGAGTCACATTTGCGTTATGCGCACCCTCTGACATCAGAAATAAAATAGAGGGTCCGCCGCCGTCGACAGCAAGGGTTCCGTCTTGCTTTTGCAAAACGTTGGTGATAGTTTTGAGCTATACGATATCAGGAGCAACAAACTCATACATATCATCCCTGCGGATTCTACCATACCATTTTTGACTGATGTAAAGTTTACAAAAAGTGGAGCCATAGCTGCTGGAGGCAGTGCAACTGGTAAGGTCCGCATTATCCACATCGGCAGCGGCAGTGTTGTACAGGAACTTAACCATGGCAGAGGTATTCTTCTATTGTGTAGTCTTACTTTGCCCACTAACGAGATGGAACTAGGGCCGGTGCAAGCACTCGACGTAAGCCAGTATTGTGTAACTCACACCATTCATTGCCACTGTGTTTCAGATGGCCTCTACCTGCATGCTGGATATAATTGCCAGCGGATCTTCGGCCGATTTACATGACATCAGACTTTGGGCGAAGCCGGTAAGTTTATCACTGACGCTCATGGAACGAAGACTTATACATTTGCAAGACAAGGCTGGTGGTCATGACCACTAGATCCCTTTATATTGTGCTGCTTGCCTTATCTGTTTATTACACATTCCAAATGTGGATGCCTTGGTTGAACCAGGTGAGGATCAACCTAGATTGAGATTGGGTTTGGCTTACATATCTGTAGTGGTTCTCTCTAGAGGTGGCCACAGCGTCAATTGGCCGAGCCGGGTGCCAAGGAATTCAATACTTCCAAATGTCACCTGTTCCAGATTTGGACCTCCATTGGGCATGCTGTTGTGATGGTTACGATGATGATACACCTGATCTCATGGGACGGGTATTGCAGAGACATATGCAAATGCAGGAACGTGTTGTTACTGAGGAATAGTCCAACATAGTCTCCCTTAGACAGACAGCGAAGAGACTTGTTGGCAGTGCATGAGCATGAGCCCGGTGAGGAATCTCAGTCAAAACCTCCTACATTTCATATATCCATGTGTTAGCAGATTGACATGGATTTGAAGGGCCCTTCGTGACATCATGTATACCCTTAAATATACAACGCTGTTTGAGACAACACAGAGACGTATATCATTGGAAAAATACAAAATTTACTACACTCAGTATCGCTATGACGCTCTGTCGGGAAAGATGGTCAAGACGCCGCCATCAATGATAGCTAGCCATCGAATGAGCAGTCCCGGGTTTCAATATATTTACAATGCCCCACTCCAATCAAACCTACTAGAGTTGAACGTTGAGGAGGCATTTCATGAGATAATTACAGACCGTCTGAGTTGTGTCCACACCTACCACTGTCTTTCCTACTAAGTTTATTTTGCACATCTGCAGCTGCTAGATTAATAAGGTGGGACAGTCATCTATAGCGCATTGCATCATGGAAAAGACGCTGGTATCGAACACTGAATTCCTTCTTGGACAGGCCATTCCTGTCAATCTTGTCTACGGGTAGGTAGACTAGTAATACGCAGGCTTGTTGAGAAGGACGACGACGCCAAAAAGTGAGGACATTTCCCAGTGTTAGGTGGATCGGATAAGCGATTTTGCTCCCAGAGAATTGTGTGAGCTGTGTTTTGTCGGTTGCTATAATTATCGGAGCCAGCGTAGCACCAGTAGGTAGATGATCCTTAAAAAGCTTGAGATACATCGTGCCGCAAGCTGACCAAAGCACATACTCGAATGAAGTGCCAGCAACGACCGGTCCACATTTCTGAAACACACGATGCTTCCGCACATGGTCTGTAAACACCCCCTTAAGAGTATAGACCAGCTCCTTTGCCCAGGCTGGATCACTCCATAAGTTCTTGATCGTGTCGACAATGTTTCAATATCATACAACGAACTTCTCCTCTGGCCTGGGCCTGAAAAACAGACGTCGGTTTCTCCATTCACCAGCTCGTTTTGAAATCTTCTCAAGTGAAGGTCTGATAGGCGAACAAGTTACGGAAGTTCAGCTTTGCAGACAATAAAGACAGATACGTAGCTCACCTTTCAGCTTCAGTAAAGTGCCTAGCACCGTCCTTGAGTGACGGCCCATCTCGCAATCTGCCAGTCTAATGCAGAAGTAAATGGCCAATACCAGCCAGAGGAAAGCTCGCCGTCTGCCATCTTGACGTCCCCGTCACCATCCCGAGTTTCAAAAAGTTGTCCCCACCGTTCGTGCAGGCTATCGTCCATCTGAATGACCACCGGTTTAATGTGTAATCTCCACCTGCATATCGTCCTCTTATCTAGAAGTCTTTGCTGAGCTCCCAAAATATGCCCGAGCCTACGGTTGTTCTGTGAGCTGGGGCCAGATCTTGCCTCTCCCTCGGTGACGCCCTCCTCGACCGGAATAAAATGGTAGAAGTCTGTTTCCGGCTCGAAAGCCTGCATGATATCTCCACCATCATCCTCATCTACATCTGGAAGATCCCCTCAGTTGTCGGCTCCATTGTCGAGATAGCGAGCATGAGGACTCACGTATGATGCAGATTTGTAGGGTGCTCTAGGCAGGGTCGCCCGCTGCGCATGCCCAAGATGCTCTCATTTTGCAAAGAATAGCTGTAGTCAGAGAGAGTTAGCTGTAGATTGATCTTTAGAGAATGGCGAACCAGGTTCCCGGGGTAAACCCCGTGGAGCCATGAAGCGACCCAAGTACTGAGTGAGGAAGCAAGGCAGCACCAGCAGTGGGTAGACGAGACTGGTGCCAAACAATCTGCAGCCAAACAGTGAGTCCACCTGCTGTAGCAGCCATACTACCTTCCTTTCTTTTACTCTTACTTGCAGCGCTCACTTCACCTCTATGGCCGGCAGCTCAGGGTTTACCCAGGCTACCTCTATGGCAGCAGGATTCGATTAAACTTTCATGGATTTATCCTAGGAGCTGGACCAACGTTTTTTTTATCAGTCCGTTTCTGGTACACATCCCTACTACAGGAACTCGTTACCCGATGTCAAGCTTAAATCTCATCCGAATCCATGATCTCGTCGTCGTTGTCTTCAGTCAGTGCTCTGCAGTCAAGATTGTTAACACAAGTGGAAGATTTGAAGGGAAGCACTGAACCTGCTGATGCGTGCCACTACCGCTGGCGATTGCAGGGGTTGCTGCTGCTGCATGCGCCCTTTCCGACGTGTACTTGAGCCTCAGTTTGATGAGGTCATTGATGGGCCACATCGCTTTGTACTTGCAGAGGATGGGGAATGCAATGGCGGCCTGAGGAACGTCAGTAGTGGCAGCGTCAGATAGTGATTGTTTACAGGACAGCCCGGTGGATGCTGTTGATCTCAGCGGTGGTGTCTGTTCTTGTTTGACGCGAACGAGACGGTCGTGTCGAGGCTATCCTCGACCTTCTTGTTCACGAAATTCTTTGCGATCAAGTAAGTTTTCATTTGTTTGTAAGCAGTGCTTTTGTTTCCGGTCTTTCCATAAACCCTGACCTTTTTATCGGCGTACCGATGAGAAAATTAACGATGTAAGTGTTTCGTCACTGGTGCTCTTTCATTTGCTGGTGATTTCTCCAGGTTGACCCATATAGACGTGGACGGCATACCCAAGGTACAAAGCTCGGGCGGTGTGTCTCGAGGTGTGTATACTAGCTTCCTTACTTATCTTGACTAGGACTATTTGAACACTTCGTCCCGCCACCGCCGACAGCTCAAGTACTCACCCCCAGTACTCAATGGTGTGCCGTCTGATCTCATTTCTCCTGTCTCTCATCATTTATCGGACGTGGTTTTTTGAAGGAGAACCAGCTCTGTGGGTGATCGATTCAAGCGAACTCCGCCGTTCGTCTGAGCAGGATGGCAGTTCTGAGAATGTTACATTGCCTCAGGATCCCACGTGAGTGGCGGTTATGGTTTTGCAAGGTCGCCGTGGAGGATGAGGTGCATGCCCTTCTTCGTTGTGCAGGTTTGGTGGAGTGATGCCGTCTTGTTCTCGCCGACGCCTATGCTATATGCCCCATGCTCGCTGACCTATGGGAGCGCCTAGATGATAAGGAGTGTTTCGCATGCTTGGCTACAATTTTGGAGTCTCGATTAGTACAAGTATGTACATCGTGGTACACACAGCTCATAGTGACATTAAACCTGTGAGATATTCCCAGTTCGCACCTGGTGGAATTACTACGGTCTGTGACATGTCTCGTGGAGGCATAGAACTCTGGCGGTCCTCATTGGGACCTGAGTAATGGTTTTCTACTCATTGTGTTTCTTGGACATTATATGATTATTGAACTATGGGGAGAATGTTGAAATTGACTGTGATATTCCAGCCCGATGTGTACAAAAGTCCCCGGCCGCCGCAAATCACTCGGCGGCTTGCTCAGTGGGTCACTTAAGCGCCCACATCCATTTTACGGTCGGCAAAAAGTTGGATTTTGTCCGACACTCTATATAAGGTATTTCGGATCAGCCAAAATGCGGATCAAATCCTGCATTTTGCCGGATGGCAAAACAAACCCTTTTCGAAGGGCTGGAGAATTTATAATACTGCTGTCATTCTGGCTACTGCAAAATTATTATATTCCCGGGGGTTCAAATACTAGCAGGATCTTATAATTTATCTACATTTTGTTCACTCAAAACTATTCATTTTCATGTGGCAAAATCCGGTGCCAAAACTTTATATAGCTTCCATGAATTTTGCATGCATTTTGACCCCCCCAAAATAGTCGCCAGCCAGCTGTGACCACGACTGCCGCCGACGACTCGACCTCCGTCAAGGCACTAGTACTTTCATCTTTTCACTTATTTTTATGCTGGAAGTAGCGGCGCCTACCTGAAGTCCCCATAAGGGCAAGATGGTGATGCTTTAAGTTTGCTAGGCATTCTGGTGCGTACATTTACACAATACTTGTTGTTAGCCGTCCTGAAAACGGTTAGTATATAGGCAGAAGTCTTCAGAAAACAAGGCGCACTTTTTCAGACATGAACTCCCCCATTTCACTCGCATGGAAGGGAGGTATTCTTGCTGGATTCTCTCAATGGATACTCAAGGATTTCGCTTGAGGCCACGCATGACCGTCCGCCGGATCACTCAAGTTCCTCCACAGCCTCGATAGCTGTACATGTACTCGTTTGGTTGTAGCGCGGCGGACCAAGTAAGTCCTGTTTAGTACTTGCTGAAATTCCTCTCACCGATAACTACTCCAGGTTTATCCCACGACTACCTCCCCCGAACGAGCCGCTAAATTCTCTATCCAACTCATCTTCTACGACCAACTCGGAAGCTCCCATTTGACTCTCGCTCATTGAAGCCATTGTTATTCTTGTCCATTGGTCTCTTCATCGCAAACGCTTGGAGCACTTCCGCATCCAGGATGGGTTCCTTCATGGGGTGGGACACTCGGTTTAGAGTTCGAGGTATGCAGGTATCGTGTCACTTGGCGTTTACCAATTCATTGACGAATATGTAGAACACATCAGCTAGGGAGCTAAGTAATCTTCCCAGATGATGTACAGAAAGAGCTGGACGTGGACATAACGGCTATGAAAAGATACGGCAAGGCGCTGGAGGAATGAGTGTATTCATTAGACCAATCGCGAGTCTGTTGGCGGACATTTCCGTTGCGGTAGGGATGAAAGCGGCCATTTCACTCTGGTTCTTGACGATTGCTGACAGACCGTGTAGGTTCGGAGAGCTGAGTACACGGACCATCTTGATCACGTCTATTTTCCAACCTTTGCGATCAACGGGCACGCAGAAACTGCTCAGGAGTTTGTCATCAACAACCCCTCCGCCGTTGGACTCTTGAAGAAGTTCGCTCTTGGTGGCTGCGACAGTTTGTATCCAGCTAGGTATAGCACCACTCCTTGCGTCAATGTTCTTGCAAAGAATAATGTTTGACAAGTACATACCCGAATACAGAAATCACGAAACGTTCGTCCGGCCCCATGCTCTGGCTCCTAAGTCTCGCGAGATGCTTCGAAATACAGATTCAGCCATTCTTGACTAGTTATAGGCTGCAACGCCACCTACTCGGCACCGCAGCGAAAGCACAGAAGACATAGTCCGCCATTTGTGCCTGACAGTCTGGATGTGTCCATGGCTCACGCTTAGATCGACTCTGGTGCCAAAGCATCGGACTTTTTTCTCTCGACGCTACTTTGCATGAGCATGAAGGTGGTCTTTTTCGAATAGTATCACTGCATCCAACGAACGACACGAGGCGGGATAGCGGCGGGGGAACATCAATCGTCATCCAAGAAACTAGATCTTCGCAAACTGCAACCTGATCACTATCTTTGCACGAACGAGCCCATTCACTGGTAACGATGGTCAGAGAAGGGTGACACCGTGATAAGGGACTATTTTTGACTGATTTTCCCTTGCTCGGTTCTTCGCATCACGAAACATACTGTTAAACAAGGCTCACAGTTCCTGACCGCGTCATACGCGTCATTCGTTCCCCTCCACTCGTCCTGGGCACTCATAGACCTGTATTTTTGTTTCTACTCCATGACTGATGACCTCCACCGCCCAGAGTAGACGACTCGAAAAGCTATAAGAGAGGGATTAAACCAGCAGGTATTCATTCTCAAGCCCTCACAATTGTACAGCTTATTAATCTCACTTCACCATGTTCGCTCGTATCTCTGTCTCTGCTTTCCTGGCCCTACCTCTTCTTGCCAGCGGCGGTGTCATTCCTGTCGTCCTTCCCCGTAATGATATTATGACCAGCGAGGGTCCTACACTCCTCCCTGACTCTGTCGTCTGCCTTACCCCTCCCCCCGTTCCCTATCCTCGCGATGAATCGGATGACGGTGCGGTTATTATGGGCAGGCAGGCTCTTCCAGCTCTTCCCGCCCCTCCTGCCATTCTGGCTATTCCGGCTATTCCAGTGCTTCCAGGCAGACAGGCTCTTCCAGCTCCTCCCGCTCCTCCCGCCCCACCCGCTCCTCCGGCCGTTCCAGCTCTTCCTGCCCTTACAGGCAGGCAGGTGATTCCGGCTCTCCCGGCTCCTCCTGCCCCGCCAGCTCCTCCCGCTCCTCCGGCGATTCCAGCTATTCCAGCGCTTACAGGAAGGCAAGCTCTACCCGCCCTTCCAGCTCTACCCGCTCCTCCTGCCCTCCCAGCTCTTCCCGCCCTTCCTCGTGATGAATCAAACGTTATTAGCAGGCAGGTCACAATCTCCCCAGTCCTCCCCACCCTTCCGACCGGCGACGAAGCAAGTGTTATTGAAGGCAGACAGGTTGTTACGGGCTCTCCCACCATCTCCCCAGTCCTTCCCGCTCTTCCCGCTCTTCCTCGTGATGAATCAAATGTTATTAGCAGGCAGATTACGATCTCCCCAGTCCCTCCCATCCTTCTGACCGGCGACGAAGCAAGTGTTATTGAAGGCAGACAGGTTGTTACGGGCTCTCCCACCATCTCTCCAGTCCTTCCCGCTCTTCCCCGTGCTATGATTATGGGCAGACAGGTTGTCACGATCTCCCCAGTCCTCTCCGCAGTCCTTCCTCGTGATGATGGTGCCATTATTGCGGGCAGGCAGGTCATTACGGGCTCCCCAGTTATCTCCCCAGTCCTTCCTCGTGGACAGTGATTCCGTTAGTAACACTTTTTTCAATTTAATTATACGCTTATATTTTCTTCAAACAGGCTGTGCCACGGCCTCTAAGGGAGCAGGCAATTTCTCGTGAATGAGAGCGTCTTGGTGATCTTGTAAAATGTATTCGTTCCTTAGATAAATAGTTCGAGAAAACAATATTGCTAGGTAGTAGCAAATGTACCATTACCTATAACATTTTGAGATGTTCTGTCATTTGAAGCTTCCTGCTGAATTATAGCTCTCCTTGTCGAATTATCGAATGGGTGGTTCAAGTAAACTGTGGCGAGTTTGGCCATCGATCGATCGGTCCGATTATTGGGCTCTAGTTGATATAGAATAATGATATGTGTTACTACCAGGGAGAAAATTTATTACAGAAGGAAGCTAGTCGTCGACGGATAAATATTTAACTCAGAACGCGAGGAGAAAACTCTGCTATTCCACTATCAAGCTAAGAATCAGGCTCGCGGTTTATGCTAATTTGCGGATCATATAACAAATCTTTCAACCTGTATCCTCGACGATATCTACATCGAGCATGTTTCTCTTTTCCATAAGCGGGAGTGTTTCATGGACCCACTCTATGAAATGCGATCCTTCCCAGGAAGAAGGGTAATCAGCGTGAGGGTTAAATGTCACCTTCAACCATTGAAACGCCTTCATGTCTGGCCCTGTTAGGATCTCATCCAACCTTGACCATTGCCTCACCCAGTCATCGTCATCCATAGTGAGGCCATCAAAAAGCGAGGGAGGCACGACCACCAACAGAAGCGTCTTCATCATGATAGGTCCATCAGCGCCAGTCAGAGAATCGAGCAACCATCTCATGACTTTGATATGCCAACTGCTGCGTTGACTACACTCCATCTCAATCTTCAACGTCGGCATTGTCAGGGGAAGTACGTCAAGCTGAGCCGGCCATCCCGACATTATGTTTATACGATACACTTTATTCATCCAAACCATCATCAGTGTATGTTGTAAAGAAAAAAATGGGCCTCACTCACTAACTCTACGGATACGAATATCCAAGCTCCTCAAGGACCTCGACGCTGCACGGACAAACGCGCATATCGAAGAGAGATATTCCCCAGGAGGGTACATGATACAAAGCTCGCGCAGGGAATCTGCATATACTGCTCGTAGCTCTCGCTGATGGATGAGGAACTCCACGACGGAAGCACGGAACGATGTTCCCCACATTGATATCTTGTTGATCTTCGGAAGCAACCCACCAACGCTCCCAAGCTCGACCAGGAAATCCTGCCGGAATCGTATCGCGCTCAATTGGAGGCTTGTCAACCCAGGGAGCTGACAGATGAGGCGGTGGAGCGACCATGGATCGGGGAATTGGAATCTGTCGAGGTGGAGCGCGGTTAGGTTTGGGAGGGATGATAGGAATGGAATTAGGCTGGGGATATCGGAACCGCGGCGTATGGTGATGTTCTTGATGTACGGGAGGACGCTTTGGGAGAACAAATCGTCGGGTGTGTGCTTGAGCTCGATGCTGTGTAAGAGGTGTACACGGGTGCGGAGGTAGAACAGTCGGCAGACGAAAGAACAGGCGATGAGCGCGTCTTTGTCATCCCAGAGGTAATCGATGATTTCCTCTATGAGTTCAGGTGGGATGCTGAGCTGCATTGCACGTCAGGATATTTCCAGATTTTCCTGTATCACGTACAGAGTGGTGCTTCGTCGTCTTAGTTGCTTGGACCAAATCTTTCATACTGTGTGAGGGCGAAGACAGCGTATTGAAAGTCGAAGTGGACATCCTGTTTATTCACGTGATTAAAGTGTTTTGAAGGAGGGATCTTGATTCTGAGGAATCCATGCACTTGTCGGTCACGACTGGGAAATCCTGGCTCCTGGGACCGGTTCGTGACGGTGCAGGAAATCGAAGGCCAGGCCCGAAATCGAGGCCCAGAAATCGCGGTCCGACTCACGTGGCGGCTGTGCTTCAGTATGAAATTTGTAATTTCAATTTTCAAGTCTGCCTGTTCACCAAATGCCCGCATTTCATTCGACAGTAGCTTTCAGCCTTTTGATGAAGGTTAGCTGTCTATTGACAACGCGTGACAATTACACTTCGAGGTTGACGTTGCACTTTGGAGCACATACGAAGCTTGTGTGCTTTGGCCAATATCAATTTTGTTCTGTGATTTCTCAAACTACGTCAGATACCATCCGGCATGCATGGAACATAACGTTCTAGGGAATATCAGGTAAATATACTGTCAACACGTGCATCGTAAGTTTTAAAGTTCGAACCTAATTCTCTCTTCGGCACTTTGCCTTTTTCTCTCATATCATCCTCAGCATCGTTGGCCTCAAAAGCTTGGGAATATTCACCCAAGTACGTATCCTTCTCTAGCAAACGAATGTTTCTTTAGCCCAAAACGCTCATTCTAGTCCTACAGACATCCGTCGTAATAATCTGTTATCGATGGAATAAGATAACTCTACTGTTCGTTGTCTGTAAACTTCGCTCACCCCAGGTCATTCATGTAATGTTTTTAGGAAATCTCTGAATACCATTTACACCGGTGTACTCAGGAAAATACGACTGTGGGGCCACATATCATGTGCAGCGACATCATGGTGCTCCTTCGTACGGGGAACTCATCAGAAGACCTCGACTGGGAGACGTTGGCATCAATAATGGAACACATACACCTCCTCGAATCCGAGATCGTTGCCCGCAATGAACGGCTCCAGCCGCAGGCTATGCTGCATGATGTTCCTCCCCAGCACGAACGAGACCTTGCCATGCAGGATCTCGAAAACCATAAATCCATATTCGCGCCCATACGACGTCTTCCGAATGATGTTTTGCTACGTATATTTCAGATGTCCACTGGTGTCGGGGTCAAACCTGACGTGAAAACTATCCCCTGGGTTCTCGGTTACGTCTGTCATCACTGGAGAGCCCTCTCCCGCTCTTCACACTCCTTATGGACTGACATTTGTCTCGCGAGCCTGCGCTACTCCAACCTCTCATCCGGTCAACGTAGTCTGCGCAACCGTCTCCTCTCTCTATCTGGAGATTCACCACTCAAGATCACTATAAACATGATCAATCCTTTTAAGGCTGATATACCCCATCGCCCAGTTTTCCCAAGTGATGATAGAGACAGGATTTTGGAAGACATCACTCGCCATTCTCATCGATACTCTCGTATAACCCTCATCATAGGAGGGCCAGTATCAACCGCTCAGAACTTCTCTTGTCGGTTACCCCTGCTACGCAGCCTCTTTTTGGCGGTGTTTGATATTAACAACCCTCGCATCTGTCGTCTGTTTTCATCGGCTCCCCTTCTCCAGGATGTCAACTTCGTTGGGCCTATTGTCATGTGGCGGGAGTTTGCTCGAGTGGTGTCCCTTTCCCAGCTCGTCAGGCTAACAGTGCATGATGACATCATGCCAGATTTCTACGCTTGTGTGAAGGAGACTACCGCATTGGAGGACCTGTATTTTCGCATCTCACATCTGGAAGATCAAGTCGTCCAACCATCTACACCCGGGTCCAATGCACAGCTCCTTCCCACCTTCGTCCATAATAATATCCAGAAGCTGGTGTTGGATGGCAAACTTCTTTGTATTCTGGACCGGTTCTCCATTCCAAACTTGAAAGAATTACTCATTTGCAGCAAGCTCGGCGAGGATCATCTAGTTAGACCAGAAGTAGAATCCCCTGATCTCGGAGTCGGAGTCGGGCACCTCCTTCGTTTTCTGAAGGGCTCAGAATGCAATCTACAGGCATTCCACTGCTTCATACCGATACCGCTTTCGGCGCTCAGAAGCTTATGGAAACAGTGGTTGTCGTCATTGACAAGACTCACCATCACCATTACTTTACCGACTCAAGGAGATGTTGTTCGAGAGCTGACGTTCCAGGAGGGCGAACCTGGCGTCCTTCCAAACCTCCAGCTTTTGAGGCTGCGTACGCCTGACGGTGTGTCTATCTTCGAGGATGACAGCCTTCTCAAAATGGTATTGTCACGGCTTGCTCGATGTCCCGGAAGTTTTACGACACAAGATAATGACTGAGATACTCGACGGGGAGGTCCTTAGTCAGGATGTTATCACTCAAATGCAGCGTCTGCGTGAGATGAGGGCGGTGGGCGTCTGTGTTGAACTCTTCGCGGATGAATATTTGGACTATTTCGAAACTGATGAACGCTTCGCCAAGTTTGTAGAGGAGAGAAAAGCGTAGTAGCATGGATGTTGTATATAACAATGCTACTATGCAGAAGATAATCCTTGTGTCTGATCACTGATGGTCATATTCAGACTGTACCGCAAGGACTCGTTCCATGGAGGGACTCAACGGTGACTTGGAAGCAATGCTCGAAAAGGAGCCTTGTTGACTAACTCGCAATTGCTTAATCCGACTCTGGAACACCAGTCCGTGAGCAATGATTAAGAAAACACAGTAGGCTGAATCTTTCAAGATCAATTTGTTCTATCCAAGTCGGAGTCCAGCGAGCAAATTGATGTGATACAAACTCTTGCTATCACATCGTAGTGATTCTTTCTCATACTCGTAAGGACACGGATATAAATACCGAGGCAGAAATCGAGAACAACAAACGGCGGTTTTTCAAAGTGCATTTGTCTACTGAACAAGTAAATAGGTCGAGAAAATAAAATTGCTGGATCGTATCGTAGTAAATATGCCAATGATTATCATGTTTCTGATTTTCTAACTTTTCCCAGTGACCGCCAACCGTTGCCTTTAAGAGCTGCAGGTTGAATGTTAGGTAAAGTCAATGACTATCTCAGATTTTGCTGGCGCGGACTGCCCGACGCGGAAAGAGACAGACAGTGACGGTGACACAAGGAACCAGACCAAACCAGACCCAGAGCCAAGTGTCATATATTGAGCACCAGACGCTAAGAACACTCAGGTGAACGAACCGATAACAAGAACTCCAGAAATTCAACAGCCTGTCACTCGTCTGCGACAAAGCTTGACGTAGAGTACACAGATCGCTAATTGTGACGTACCTGGACCTTTCGAAATGTTCATTTTGGAGGTCTAAGTACGTCATAATTGCGCGTCTAGGGATGAAGGAATGCAGGGTGAGCAAAGAGGTAGCGCTTATGCACCTTCAGCCGTTGATCCGCCACCACTATCACCATCCCTTGACCTTGAGTGAATTGAGATCGCCAAACAATGTGTCCCATCAACGCGTCTAGTTTGCAGAATCTGAAGCTGCAAACCAGACGCGTTCGAATTCTGAAAACCAAACGCGTTCCTCAATGGCGTGTCCGAAAACATCGATACATGTCGTTGTCGTGAGAGGGAAGCTGTAGTGGATGAGTCCAAATGTCTCAACGCGTTATGGAGGACGGGAAAGAACAGAGGCGACGAAGAAGTTTGATTTGCCCAGGTAGTACTCACGCCATCACGTCACATATACCCTTTTCCCATGACCTACGACAGCCTACGACTCGGACTCGCGGGAGCCCTAGTAGGTTGCAAACCCGGAGTCTTGCTAGTCGAACATCGACGCTAGGGTGGAACAGAGCCTGTCTTGTCATGCCCATAAAATAAAACAGCAAAAGAAACGCACCTCTGTCACGCACGCACACGCATCAGCGCATCCACATATCAAACAAAACGCAAACGCAGTGAACGCACGAACACATTACTTAAACGCGAAATCCGTGCCCGGCTGAGAGTTGGCGGACAAATAAACTACAACATAGCTTCTAATCTGAACGACGACTGCCGCCGCCGACGAGGATCTCCCTCAAAGCACTAGTACTTATTTCTATGCTGGAAGTAGCGGCGCCTACCTGAAGTCCCTGTAAGAGCAATATGGTGATGCTTCAAGTTTGCTAGACATTCTGGTGCGTACATCTACACAATGTTTGTGTTTCGCCGTTCTGAAAACGATTAGTATCTAGGCAGAAATCTTCAGAAAACAAGGCGCAGCCATTTTTAGACGTAATATACACCATTTCGCTCGCTTGGAAGGAAGTTACTCTCGCTGGCTTCTCTCAATGGATACGCAAGGATTTCGCTTGAGGCGACGCATGACCGTCCACCGGATCTCTCGAGTTCCTCCGCAAGGGATTCCTCTGTGGCTACATTGATGTTGGAATGAGAGTGGTTCTGGGTAGTTGTCACCAGCCGTAAGAAACGATGTTGCACATCGACGGTCCTAAGGTTGTGAGGAACATTGCGCAGTGAGTAATGCTCTTATCTTGGTGCGTTTTTGGCTAACTAGTATGTGAAATGACAGGTTTCAGCTCGAAGTGGTATTCTACATATATGCTACATGCATTCCTTGCTATGTACATCTCAGCTATAAGCGGTACACTCTAGCGTTACTATTCGATGTCGTCCGCTTGTCCTCTCCTTCAAGGATGGCCTACCTTTGGGAACTCCCCTTCCACGCGTAATCTCCGTCCTTCTCTTTCTTCATCGACACCCCAGGAGCACTACCCACTCCATACTTGGAGAGAGACCTGCCAGAAGTGCTGCAGCACTTGATACCGACTAAATCGTCGGTGGACTCCAGGTCTCAGCTCGCTCATTGGTCGTAAGAGTTCGGACACCAACATGAACAAGACCATCAACCGATGATGTATCGTACCAGTGAACTTGCCTAGAGGTTCCTCGTACCCAACAAGACACCCAGAAATGACACTCACTGTCTTTGTTCGCTGCTACCGATGTATCTGACAGCCGGACCCTTTCCCTCTACTACGACTTCAATCGGCTGGAGATAGGACTGCGACATGAGCTTGCGAGGAAAGCAGGCCAGTCTCGGTTTCACTTCGGCAAGGAAGGGACTTGACGAAGCAGGTGGACGTACGAGCAGTGGGAGATGCATGCGCGTTTGTCCGTGCAGCGTCGATGTCCTTGAAGAGCTTGGATATTCGTATCTGTAGAGTTAGTGAGTGAGGTCACTGTTTTTCGGTACGACGTAACACTGATGATGGTTTGGATGAATGAAGAATACCGTATAAACATTATGTTGCGATGTCCTCGACGTACTTCCCCTGTCATGAATCAGAAAAACATGCTCGACGTAGGTATCGTCAAGGATACAAATTGAAAGAGTTTGTTATATGATCCGCAAATTGGCATAAACCGCGAGTCTGATTCTTAGCTTGACAGTGGAATAGCAGAGTTTTCTCCTCGCGTTCCGATGACTAACTTCCTTCCGTAATAGATTTTCTCCCTGGTAGTAACATATCAATAATCAGTTCATTATTCTATATCAACTAGAGGTCAATACTCCGACGGATTGATCTATGGCCAGCCCTTCGAAAACTCGCCACGGTTGACTTGAATCACCCATTCGATAATTCGACAAGGAGAGCTATAATTCGGTGAAGACAGGAAAACTCGAAATGTTATAGTCATTGGCACATTTGCTACTATCCAGCAATATTGTTTTCTCCGACTATTTTATCTATCGAACGAACGAATGCACTTTACAAAATCACCAAGACGCTCTGTTCTGACTCGCGAAAACTTTCCTGCTCCCTTGAGAGGCCGTAGCGCAGCCTGTGTGAAGAAAATGTGAGCGTATAATCAACTTGAAAGACAGCGTTACTAACAAGATCACTGTCCACGAGGAAGGACTGGGGAGATAACTGGAGAGCCCGTAATGACCTGCCTGCCAGCAACAATGGTACCATCATCACGAGGAAGGACTGGGGAGATGACAGGGGAGCCTGTAACAACCTGTCTACCCTCAATAATACTTGCTTCGTCGCCCGTCGGAGGGGTCGGAAGGACTGGGGAGATCGTGACCTGCCTGCCTGTAAGGGCGGGAATGGCTGGAATGGCGGGTGGGGCGGGTGGGGCAGGAGGTGCTGGCAGTGCTGGAAGAGCGGGAGGTGCTACAGGTGCGGCAGGTGCCGGAAGAGCGGGAGGTGCGGCAGGCGCTGGCAGTGCTGGAAGGGCAGGAGGCGCTACAGGTGCGGCAGGTGCTGCAGGTGCTGGAAGGGCGGGAGGTGCTGCAGGTGCTGCAGGTGCTGGCGGTGCTGGAAGAGCGGGAGGCGCTACAGGTGCGGCGGGTGCCGGAAGAGCAGGAGACGCTACTGGTGCTGGCGGTGCTGGCAGAGCAGGAGGTGCTGGTGGTGCTGGCGGTGCTGGAAGGGCGGGAGGAGCAGGAAGAGCCTGCCTGCCTGTAATAACAGCACCATCATATGATTCTTCACGGCGAAGGACTGGGGAGAGGACCGGGGAGATCGTGACAACCTGTCTGCCTGTAACAACAGTACGTTTGTTGGATTCTTCTTCAACATGGGGAAGAGGATACGGGGCAGGGTCAGGGCAGGAGAGTTGTCTGCTGGTAATATCGTCACGGGGAAGGACGACAGGGATCACACCAGCTCCAGCAAGGAGAGGTAGAGCCAGAAGAGCTGATACAGAGATACGAGCGAACATGGTGAATGAAATCGAATAAGCTCTACAGTTGTGAGGACTTGAGAATACCTGCTGGTTTAATCCCTCTCTTATAGCTTTCCGAGTCGTCCTCTCTGGGCGACGGAGGTCATCAGTTGTGGAGTAGAAACGAAAATACAACTGTGTATGAGTGCCAAGGTCGAGTAGGGGGGAACGAATGACGCGTCTGACGCGGTCAAGAATCATCAAGGATCGTTCAATGGTTATGTTTCTGTGATATGGGGAACCGAGGAGGGGAGTATCAGTCGAAAATAGTCCTTGGTCACGGTGACAGCCCTCTCTGACCTTCATTTCCGGTGTATAGGCTTGTCCGTGCAAACATAGTCATGAGGTTATGTTTTACGGAGATCCAGTATCTCGGGACCGTGAGTGATGAGTGATGTTCCCCGCCGCCATCCCGCCAATGCCAGTGTTGCTCACTAGTTGGCGGTATTGTTCGGAAAAGACCAATTCCGTGCGTTGTAGCGTCCAGAGAAAACAGATGCGATAATTGGATGCTTTAGCACCACAGCCGGTTTAAGTGTTATGAATATATCCAGACTGTCGGACTCCGATGGCGACCATGTCTTCTGATGCCTACATAGTAGAGATGCCACATAAGTCGTGTTGGTTGAATATACAGCCTATGACTCGTCATGACTAGCTGAATCGGCAAGACGCATATACTATGCATGTACGCCACAACCACCGAATTCGTACTTCGAAGCATCTGGCAAGTTGGAAATCAGAACACGAGGTCAATCGTGAACGAACGGTTCCTGATTTCTGTATTCGGGTACTTCATTTTCAGGAAAAACATTGACACAAAGAATGGTACAATACCTTAACAGCTGGATACCAGCCATATCACAACCAATAAGAGCGAAACAGTTTCAAGATTCGAACAGTGGAGAGGTTGTACCATCTAAAATATATAGGCGAGATGGCAAAGCCCTGGGCGGCATCTGCACGAACACGAATGGGGATCAAGACACAGCTCTCTGGTGAAGATACAGGGTCTGTCACCTCATTGTAACGGAGATGTCCGCAGATGGCTTCGTTGATTGGTTCATCAAATGCACCAGCTCTTCTGGCCACGGATCGACGAGACATCCGCGGTTCTTGTGGAACACCCCGAGCGCCTTTCCGTATGTTTCCGTATCCAGCACGCCGACAGCCAGCCCCTTCTGTATATCGTCCGGGAAGGCCTTGCTGAGCTTCCCAGTTGACGCGTTCCACATCCCCATACTGGTCATCAAGTGGCGCAATTCCTTCATATCGCCAGTGCGCTTCGGATTCTAGACCTAGCATCCCTTCCTACAAAATTTGGACTGTTTTTTGATGCAGGAAGCTGACAAGTCTGTCGACGAAGAGAACAACAGCGGGGAACGCGTCGAGCGGCATAGTATGAAGGGGAGAATTCGCGTCTTACTGGCAGCCAACATCGAGGAAATGATTTGGGATTGGGAGGTGCTAAGATAGGTCGAGATTAGGAAGGCTATGAAGAACGACTAGCTCATAGCGACATACCTAGTTGCGACTCTTCAAGCTTCAAGCTTCATCACCATGTTCCTCTTCGTAAAGCTGGGCCTCGTTCCTGTACGCGTGTTAGATTGGTACAAGTAGGTAAAGGAACACACACACACACCTTAACAAACGATGTCAATGCTCCCAAGTACAGAACAAAGGCGCCGTTGTTCCTCTTCAAGAATTCACAATCTTCATAGCAGATAAACGGACGCCAGAATCTTGAAAGAATGCGCAAGTGTCTAGCTGACACGCTGCTGAAGATGGACCGTTGACGTTCTTTGCGGCGAATCACTTGAAAAAAAGGTTAGCATCGAGAAAAGGTCACGGTTTGGAGATAGCTTACTGAGTTGAGGAAGTTGGGCACTACTCCATGCTATGATCCCCTGTTGCAACTGGTGGTGGTGTTGACATCGGCGAAACGGAACGATGTCGAGAGAAGCGCTCCTGCTAAAACTGGCATCAAGAAGGTATACAGAATAATGATGATGGAAGGAGTCGGAAGGGAAGGACCGGGAGCCGATCTTGTTTGTTGACGCGGACGTCCAAACAACCTTTCGTCAATCTTGCTCACCATGCTCCTCGAGGGCTAGAGCAGAGTTAAATCGCTGTCTTCATATCGACAATGACCTCGTATAAAATTTCTTCTCTCGTTGGCAACACTCACTCCCGGGCCATCTCGAACTTTCGCCTGTTCAAGTTAATGCTTACATACGGTATTGAAAGTCCCGTGGCTTCTGAAGTTCGTCCGTTCTACTAATCTTATTTTCGTCTTGTATAGATACACCGTGTCGTTCATCTTATCTCTTGCCTGTGGCTGAACGTGATCCGTAGACGCGAGCGATTCGGAGATAGTTGCGATTCAACGATCTCTCAGGCGTGTAGGCGCTGCTGTGAGACCAGGGGCGTTTATGGTTGATGAGTACCCTCTATTGAGGTGGGTACAGCGCGGTCACCCCTACTAAACAATACTAATAAAGTAAATGTATTAGATATCTCCCTTTGTATCGTCCAGAGCTGCGTTCATGGACGCCGAGGAGCTTTCGTTGTACCGAAATCAAGTTGCAGGCGTCAGGATACGGTCCAGCCTTACTTTTCGAAGTATCTCCTTGAGAATCAAGCCAAGCTCCGGCTGAACTACGACGAGGTCGTATACCTCGTTGTTACGATGTTCGGTTCCGGATCTACTACCACGGCTAGTGCGATAACCGTGGTGATTATGGTCGCGGCATGTTTTCCCCACATGCAGACATGGGTGCAGGAGGAACTAGATGCTGTTGTTGGTCGTAAATGAGGTGGGTTTCCTTCCTGAGTTTGTAAAGCCTCTAAGTTGATGTGCTGGATTTAAGCACCAACATTTGATGGCTATGTTGACTTGCCTCGAGTCTTACTGGAGAGCTACCGGTGGAGGCCTGTCGGTGGGAACGGTAAGCTGATGTCCTCGCCCTCACTATATTGGTGCTAATGAGATCTTTTGAAGGCTTTGCTCATCGTGCATCTAGGGATATCATTTGGGTAAGTCACTCACCATTATCTTCGTCCGAAGAGGAATCGAGCTCGATCTCAGCGAAAGTACTGCATACCAAAGGACGCCATCGTTATCGGAGACCACTGGTTCATATGCCGAGATCCCTCGGTCTTTGTGAATCCAGAAGTTTTCGACCCTACTCGCTGGTTCGACGAGAATGGATCTCTCAGGTCCGATGCGTCGTTGTTCAATTTCGGCTTTGGCAGACGATAAGGATTGCTTAGCCGGGTATCTGTGTTTCCCTTGCTGATTTTTTGTATGTAGAATATGTCCTGAGAGATACGTAGCTGATTGCTCACTTTTTATAGCGAGAGCCCTGCTCGTTCAGGATATTGGAGGATGAGAAAGCACCCATTGACGTGAGGATTTGGGGGAGAAGGGATTAGTATTACGCCTGATACGTTCCAGGTGTGTTTCGAGAGGCGGGTGGAAAATATGGAAGAATTGTTGGAGTGATGATTGACTCAGAAGACTTTTCAGAAGGACTTTGCTTATTGGTATATATTATAGATGATATAACGATATTCGGGCCCGTGTTTCTTCTTGACTTACTGAACATTTTATCGGTCAAATATATCGATAACGCGTCCCATTCATAATACCCATTCTTCCAATTTAGCGATTACATTCAAGGTCCTCTTGGAGCGATTGTCTACATCCTGTCGAAAGCCGACTTGACTCAAGATTCGGCTGTTGGTCTCAATTGCTTGTACAGGCCAGGACTGTGGCCAAGCGGGAATTCGTATTGCTTCAAGTAAGTATCAGTTCCCGATCAGACGTATGGCTGAATTCGATGTCTTATTGCAATTCTTTGTAGCTATACATCACCACGGATTGAAGAGCTCCCTCGATTTCTCAGCTGCCAGGTGGTTAATATGGTCCCACCCTCGTTCCGCAAACACTTCCAAGACCCTTGCACGAGCTTGCTTCCAAAACCGAGCTCATCGTGTGGCTAACTAGGGCTTTCATTTACACCATTCTTCCCGGATACTCAAGCCATATTCCCAGTGCCCGAGTCATTAACACCGGCAATCTTGTGATGTTTGTTGACTCTCCATCGGGTCGGATTTCTACCACATTGGCTGGGAGACTTCCTCGGAACATTACTTTTTAATTCTGATGTCGCGCTGTACTCCGGAGAATGGCCTGTCCCGCTGGAAGAACAAGACAAACGCGTTCCGAAAAGAAAAGTCGACATCTATGTCTCCGTGGCTCTTTGATTTGGAAAGTATTCTTGCAGACACGTATGAAGCGATTCCTTTCCACTTTGTTCCTCCCGCAGACTTTTCCCGCTGTCCAGCTTGATATTCCAGCGGGCACTAGAAATTCAGCGTGGTCACCTGCGTGGTACCACGCCACGCAAGTCATTAGTTGAACTTGAGTTGAACTTGCCTTGACAGTACATATATACTGTGTGATGATAAGAATGCTTCGCTAAACATATCCTTTTATCTATTTCTTATTCATTGGTAAATTGTTTGCAACAAATAGATCTTTGTTCAAAAATATTTCAAAGCTTAAATTCCGCCAATTAGAGTTTTTAGACCTTCAAATCTCGATTTCTAGGTACCATTGTATCTTCCATGAGTGTATTTAGGATTATAAGAAGGTTAAATATCGAAAATTAGGTACACTCTCATTTTGCTAGCTTGAAGTTATTAATCCAAAGATATCGCAACACTATGAACATCAATTCAACGTTGCCTTCGCATCAATTGTTCCTTGATTGCTCCAATACCACCAAACCGATCATCTAATTTCCACAAGAACAACCTTTCTTTATGTACGGGTATACCTTGGACCACGCAACCAACCACGCTTGCGTACCACGCAGCCACGCAGCCACACCACGCAGGCTGACCACGCACAGCCACGCTGACTAACCACGCAACCACGCAGGCACCACGCAGGCTTCACATAGAGACCACGCCAGCCAGCCCATATAAGGTTACCCTCAGAAAGTACATCCTTCGTATAATTGCCTCTTGATTGGCTTGTTTCTTCAGTGTCATTCACATCAAATATAGAAATCCGTATTCCTTCTCATGTTATCCTCTTCACTGGGAACCCCACATTGTGTGCCTTATTACTTATAGCTTAGCAGACCACCTCTAAGGCCTTTTCATACTGTTAGGATACCCGTAAAATTATTTACTTCAGCTAGAATACATTTGATCTTCTTAAACTTGGCAATCTAGTTCGAAAATTTCATGATATTGACCATATTTTGAAGCATTTCGAAATCCTACCAAAGCTGTCATATTTAAATCTTACAGGTATTGACAATCAAACTGATTCTATGCGAGGATTGACAGAAAAGAACGGAATACGTCGACTCTCGAGTCGTGTTTGATGGACTCGATCAACTTTTGATGGGAGCCCCGCAATTTGTCAACCACGCTGACGACCACGCAACCACGCACCACGCAGCCACGCAGGCTACCACGCAGAATTCTTCTTGCCCATGAGCAAGGCGAGAATGGCGAAGCTAAGGGAGGAGAAGTGGTAGATGGCGGTGTATCGTTCGGATTTTCGGTCTATGTGTGAGCCGTTCTGATAATCGCTCCAATGAAATTGTTCTCATGCGCTGAAATAGTGGTTGGTCCTTATGTTGTTGCCAAGTCGTTCGACGTAGTAGACAACTAACTGTTCGGTGGTCTGAAGTGCTTATCCTTTGTATGGCAGAATTCTACCCATTTCCTTTGCCCCTTGTTGTTGTTCAAGCTTCGGGTTTATGACACGGCTCGACTCTCGGGACTGAGGTCCGGAAGGACAACAGAAAATCCGTATACTCGATGGCAAATTCCTCAGTCAGTCCTATTAATATCTCGATCCAGATATTTGTATAGTACATGAATATTGAAGATCATATTGCCACAATCGTTCCAATTCACGCCAAATTCTCGAGTCCCTTAGACACCAATATTGATGGGGGTGCACCCAAGAGCAATGAGACCATTCTGTTGGTAAAAGTGTTAGCTCAGATTCGGCTTGGATGTCAATGATACTGACGAAGCTGTTGTTCTGGCAGCAAACAACTTGATTGTTGCACTGAGTAGTGCCGAGACCAATAGCAGTGATTGGGCTGCAAGTGAGACCACTACAAAGGTGTCTTTAGCCATGCGGCGCGACATTTTCAGGAGATGAAACCTACACATCGCCAGCAAGGCCACCAAGGGCGAGTCCGAGGAGACCCAAAAGACTTTGCATAGGGTTGGAGGTGGCCTATTTTTCGTGTTCAGCCCATTTCTCCAATGCTCGTGAACGACGACAAACTCACGCTCTGAACGGACGAGCAGCACTGCGCGGTGCCAGAGGCGCAAGTCGTACCATCTCGGGGAATGGCAGTGGCGGTCGCAAGGAGAGGCAAAGCCAGGAGAGTGAAAGACGAGAAACGCATTGTGAACTAGGAGAGAGCTGTACAACTGTGCGGGTTGTTCGACTTGATGATACCAGTAAATTCACCTCCATTTTATAGAATTTAGGCCTCTTTGCTATCCCCGAGTGCAGAGGTCATCTGGACACCGACTGCAAGCGGTAATAGCTTGTCTAGACAGCTGCACGACGGACCAGGGCGAGGAATGTGCACATTTGACACGAATTATCCCCTTGATGACTATTTCTTAGCGGAAATGCCGTACCGCGATGTCCTATGTACCTGAGGAGGCGCTGCAAGGAAGCGATTATCAATCACTAATTTACGGCGAAAACCTCTCCCGACGTACTTGGTCATTGTCTTGAGTTTATGCATTGATAACGATCGGCGTATCTCATTCAAGTTTCAGGGCGGACTTTCCGGTTATCCCATGAACTTGAAGAAATGCCGCCGCCGTGATCGCATTGACTGGACGCCGCGTTTACATTCCAACAAGAATCACATTTGGGATCAGAAGGTTCGTAAGTGCAGCCCCCTTTTTTTGTGGCATGTTACTCGCCTATTTCTTCAGAGCAGAGAAGGCGATCTCTTCCACGTTGATGAATCTTCCCGGCTTTGCAAACACACTGTCAAATTATACCGGAAGCAATTATCGGTACACCCTGATCTGCTCAGCTCCCTAGAAGTGACGTACATTTTAGATATGCATTTTGAATATCGGTGTCACCGATTAATGCAAATCTCTATACGAAAGTGCATACTCCGGGAGACCATATACTAGTAGACACTTGAGACTTCTATGTGTTGCTGTTGATAGGACCTGCGAGGAAACACATTACCTTGTAAGGATGTACGGTGAATGCTACTTACCTCGTGTCGGATGTTCCCCTGGTCAGGTTTGACTCATTGGCAGGTGCAACGCAGACCGTAATAATGCTACTGGACACACCCACTGGTGAGTCGTCCTTCTGATGGCTTGTAAAGTTAACATGGCAACAGGTACGCTGTCTCATATGGCACATGTAGTATTTCTTTTTGACAGTGCCGGAATTTTCAGGACCCAATATCAACCCAAGACCGCCACCGAACGAGACACGAATCGAAATTATGCCGAGGCACACTGTAGTATGCAGGAAGAAGCATGGAAACCTACAGATAGAATCTGAAGTAAAAGTGTTCCCAAGACTTGGACCGCCTGAGCATAGAAAACCTATGATAAAATGATGTACGACTCGGAATTATGTACGAATAGCGGTCCTGTTATTGTCCTATTCGGCCCTTGGTAGGCGGCCCGGCGGCATGGTCAACATAACAGATAAAAAATATAAATAATCATAAAATACTTAAGTTCATAAATTCTATGCGCCGATATTTTAGGATTGCTGCTATGTGTTCCTTGTCAAGTAGAGAACGCAAGTGGAAGGGGCCAAGGTAAGAGACAGTACTGCTAGTACTTAGTTAACAGTTCGTCACACGAGGTCCGACCACGTGAGAAATTGCAAAGGATTCCAATTTCAACTTCCAACTCCAACTTCAACTTCACCGCAGACGCAGCAAAATTTGGTACCCTCAGATCTGAGCCGTTGGAATCATGACTTGGAGTACAGAATGAAAAACACTTTTAAAGGTATATTCAATCTTAAAGAAATTCGTGTAAAGTTGATATCAAATGTCCATTAAGTACTGTTAGACGACGATGTGTATAGCTGACCATCGACAATCATGTGCCATAAATGCGGCAAGAGTTTACCTTCTTCTAAAGATCCTACTCTCTCGTCTTCTGAGCTCCTTCAGAGGCTTCGCGAGGGGTATTCGCCTGCTGTCAGAAATAAAATCAATTTCCGGTGTTCACTCACAGATAGTCAAGGAAGTCGCTGCATACGACATTGAAATATTGCGACTTCTACGCAATCTAGATAAATTGTACAGGGACCATGACAGGCTCAGAACCTACGCCAATCATTATGGCGCTCTCTTATCGCCAATACGACGACTGCCTTACGACATCTTGCTGCAAATATTCAAAGACGTTTTTGGAAAGCAATACAAAATCCATACGCCTCGAAGGTCCCTACGTCTTTTCATGCACATCTCTATTGGATAGATACCAACTACTAGTATTATTATATTTGAACTAGCGACGCGTCCATCCACGTGATCTCATCATGGTTTTTCCGATTTCAAGCTCTACGATCTCTCCAGCGCATCACTGTCACCACCCAAGACGCAGAATTTGAGGCCTGGCGTCCACCAGAATTTGTCAATAATCGTGACCGCCAACTTCAAGTACGTCGGATCATCGGAATCAAGATACTTCTTTCGATAATAGAACGTCTTCCAATACGCCATCTTTGCTCGCGCAGTATGGAAGATTTGGTTCAAGCTAGTACAACAACACGCCATTCCGTACGTGATGTAGCGAACATTGTGAAACACGCTAACATGCAATGCAGCTTAGTATTCCGCCTGAACTCATCGACGAAATCATCGATTACCTCTGGGATGACAAAGACGCGCTCATCGCCTGTTCTTTCGTCTGCCGACTGTTCTACCTCCGCACCCGCGTACACCTTTTACACAGCATCGAGCTCAAGCACACACCCGATGATTCGTTATCCCAAAGCATTCTCTCGTACATCAAGAGCATCACGATCAGCCGAGGCTCCGGTCCAATCCCCAGCCTAACCCCATTCCTATCATCCCTCCCAAACCTAACCGCGCTCCTCCTCGACAGACTCCAATTTCCCGATCCATGGTCACTCCACCACCTCATCTGTCAGCTCCCCGGGTTGACGAGCCTCGAATTGAGCGCGATACGATTCCGGCAGGATTTCCTGGTCGAGCTCGGGAGCGTTGGTAGCGGGTTGCTTCCAAGGATCAACAAGATATCGATGTGGGCAATGTCGTTCCATATTTCCTTCATGGAGTTCCTCATCCATCGGCGAGAGCTACGAGCGGTATATGCAGATTCCCTGCACGAGCTTTGTATCATCTACCCTCGTGGGGAATACCTCCCCTCGATATGCGCGTTTGTCCGTGCAGCGTCGAGGTCATTGAGGAGCTTGGATATTCGTATCCGTAGAGTTAGTGAGTGAGGCGCATTATTTTCTCTATAACATGCACTGATGATGGTTTCGTTACTTTCGATGAATGAAGAATACGGTATATACGTAATGTCGGGATGGCCGGCTCAGCTTGACGTACTTCCCCTGACGATGCCGACTTTGAAGATCGAGATGGAGTGTAGTCAACGTGGTTGGCATATGAAAGCCATGAGATGGTTGCTCGATTCTCTGACTGGCGCTGATGAACCCATCATGGTGGAGACACTTATGTTGGTGGTCGTTCCTCCCACGCTTTATGATGGCCACACTATGGATGACGGTGATTGGGTGAGGCAATGGTCAAGGTTAGATGAGATCCTATCAGGCCCAGACATGAAGGATTTTCAACGGTTGAATGTGGCATTTAAGCCTCACGTTGATTACCCTTCTCCCTGGGAAGGATCGCATCTCATAGAGTGGCTCCATAAAACGCTCCCGCTCATGAATAAGAGAAACATGCTCGATGTCGATATCGTCGAGGATACAATTGAAAGGGTTTGTTCACAAATTAGCGTAAACCGCGAGTCTGATTCTTAGCTTGACAGTAGTTATCTCGCGTTCAATATGTATCCGACGACCATCCCCTCTGGTAGTAACATATATCAATAATCAGATCATTATTCTATATCAACTAGAGCTCAATATTCTGACGGATCGATGGACAAACTCACCACGACTTAAACCACCCATTCGATAATTCGACAAGGAGAGCTATGATTCGGCAGGAAGCTTCGAATGACAGAAAAACTCGAAATGTTATAGGTATTGGTACATTTGCTACTACCCAGCAATATTGTTTTCTCCAGCTATTTATGTATCTAACGAACGAATGCACTTTACGAGATCACCAAGACGCTCTGATTCACGAGGAATTGCCTGCTCCATTAGAAGCTAAAGGCGTTCTGTTTGAAGAAAATATGAGCGTATAATCAACTTGAAAGACAGCGTTACTAAAGAAATCACTGTCCACGAGGAAGGACTGGGGAGATAACTGGGGAGCCCGTAACGACCTGTCTGCCCGCAATAATGGCACTATCATCACGAGGAAGGACTGGGGAGAGGACTGGGGAGATGGTGACGACCTGCCTGCCCCTAATCATAGCACGAGGAAGAGCGGGAAGGACTGGGGAGACGGTGGGAGAGCCCGTAACAACCTGTCTACCTTCAATAACACCTGCTTCATCGACGGTCGGAAGGATGGGAGGGACTGGGGAGATCGTAATCTGCCTGCTAATAACATTTGATTCATCACGAGGAAGAGCGGGAAGGACTGGGGAGATGGTGGGAGAGCCCGTAACAACCTGTCTGCCTTCAATAACACCTGCTTCGTCGCCGGTCGGAAGGGTGGGAGGGACTGGGGAGATCGTAACCTGCCTGCTAATAACATTTGATTCGTCGCGAGGAAGGGCCGGAAGAGCTGGGAGGGCTGGAGGAGCAGGTAGAGCTGGAAGGGCCGGAAGAGCCTGCCTGCCCGTAAGCGCTGGAATCGCTGGAATAGCCGGAATCGCTGGAATAGCTGGAATCGTCTGCCTGCCTGTAAGGGCGGGAATTGCTGGAACGGCTGGAGGAGCTGGCGGGGCAGGAGGAGCCGGGAGAGCTGGAATCACCTGCCTGCCTGTAAGGGCGGGAAGAGCTGGAAGAGCTGGAACGGCCGGAGGAGCCGGTGGGGCGGGAGGAGCGGGAAGAGCTGGAATCACCTGCCTGCCTGTAAGGGCTGGAACAGCTGGAACGGCTGGAACGGCTGGAGGGGCGGGAATAGCTGGAAGAGTCTGTCTGCCTGTAAGGGCTGGGAGGGCTGGGAGGGCTGGGAGAGCGGGAGGAGCCGGCAGAGCTGGAAGGGCGGGAAGAGCCTGCCTGCCCGTAATAACCGCACCGTCATCCGATTCATCGTTGGGAAGGGGAATGGGGAGAGAGGTAGGGCAGATAACAGGGACAGGGAAGGTTATAGCACCCTCCCTGGTCGTAATATCATTACGGGGAAGGACAACGGGGATAACACCAGCGCTGGTGAGTAGAGGTAGAGCTAGGACAGCGGAGACAGAGATACGAGCGAACATGGTGAAGTGAGATTAATAAGCTGTACAATTGTGAGGGCTTGAGAATACCTGCTGGTTTAATCCCTCTCTTATAGCTTTCCAAGTCGTCTCCTCTGGGCGACGGAGGTCATCAGTCGTGGAGTAGAAACAAAAATACAGGTCTGTAAGTGCCCAGGACGAGTGGAGGGGAACGAATGACGCGTATGACGCGGTCAGGAACTGTGAGCCTTGTTTAACAGTATGTTTTCATGATGTGAGGAACCGAGCAAGGGAAAATCAGTCAAAAATAGTCCCTTATCACGGTGTCACCCTTCTCTGACCATCATTACCAGTGAATTGGCTCGTTCGTGCAAGAATAGTGATCAGGTTATAGTTTGCGAAGATCTAGTATCTTGGGTGACGATTGATATCTCCCGCCGCCATCCCACCTCGTGTCGTTCGTTGGATGCAGTGATACTATTCGAAAAAGACCACCTTCATGCTCATGCAAAGTAGCGTCGAGAGAAAAAAGTCCGATGCTTTGGCACCGGAGTCGATCTATGCGTGGGCCATGGATACGTCCAGACTATCAGGCACAAATGGCGGACTATGTCTTCTGTGCCTTCGCAGCGGTGCCGAGTAGGTGGCGTTGCAGCCTATAACTAGTCATGAATGGCTGAATCTGTACTTCGAGGCATCTCGCGAGACTTAGAAGCCAGGACACGAGGACAATCATGGACGAACGTTTCGTGATTTCTGTATTCGGGTATGTACTGATCAAACATCATTCTTTGAAGGAACATTGACACAAAGAATAGTGCTATACCTAGCTGGATATAAGCTGTCGCAGCCACCAAGAACGAACTCCTTCAAGAGTCCAACGGCGGAGGGGTTGTCAATGACAAAGTTCTGAGCAGTCTCTTGCGTGCCCGTTGATCGCAAGGGTCAGAAAATAGCCGTGATCAAGATGGTCCCCATGTACTCAGCTCTCCGAGCCTACACGGTCTGTCAGCAATCGTCAAGAACTAGAGTGAAATGGCCGCTTACATCTCTGCCGCAACGGAGATGTCCGCCAACAGACTCATCGATTAGTCTATTGGATATACTCATTCCTCCAGTCACGCCTTGAGCGCTTGTCGTATACTTTCATATCCGCTATATCCAGTCAACCCTTTCTGTACATCGTCCGCCCTATTGGCTCCCTAGCCGACGCATTCTACATATTCGTCAATGAATTGGTACACGCCAAGTGACACGGTGCCTGCATACCTCGAACTCTAAACCGAGTGTCCCACCCCATGAAAGAACCCGTCCCTGAATGCGGAAGTGCTCCAGGAGTTTGCGATGAAGGTACCAACAGACAAGAATAACAATTGCTTCAATGAGCGATGAGTCATTGAACGGCAAAGTTCGACCTTCGACCGACCAGTCAGCGTTTGCATAGATGAAGAGGCTATACTGTCGCGTAACGCGTTACATTGGTAAAAGAAGACGGAGGGTAAAACACACCGTATCAAAGGACGCTACCGCTCCGACATAGTACGAAGGATCAGTTCCTCTTCAAAAATTGACAGTTTCCGTCGCAGAAAAAAGAAAGCCAGAATATAGAGAGAAAGCCTAGGTGTCTGGTCAGGACATTGCCGGAGAAAGATTGTCGACATCGCTCTTCACGAAGATGATTCACTTGAAAAGGAGTTAGCGTCGAGAAAAAGTCACGAGATATGACTCACCGAGTTAAGAAAACTCAGCATTACTCCATCCGAGAACATCCTCGAAGATAGATCCACCTTCAAGCGTACGGACGCAACGTCAAATGCCGGATACCAGGTTTGCCGTCCTTGAACGTCAGCTCTCGAACAGCATTCACTCGAGTCGCTGAAGATGGCAAGTGTTGTCAATGGCGGCGACCACTGTTTCCATAGGCCTCTGAACGTTATCGAAGGTGGTGTATTGTAAATTTATGCGAAAAGTAGATGTAAAGAGGAACTACTGCCTGCTGAAATAAGAAAAAGGTTAGTATCTCGTTTAGGAGAGAACCATAGTAGAATAGCTACCTCATGTCTTCGCCGACGCTCTCTCCACGTCCCTGGCCTGCTCCCTTGTGATAGAATATGTCGTGAAACCGACAGACCCAACGAGAGGAATTCCAATGTATTTCATATACCCCGATTCTCGCTGAACCTCCTTCCAACGCCTCCGTTCCCGAACACGTTGATAGACCGCATCATTGACAATAAGACAAACGAAGAAGATTGGCTGTGACGGAAGGCTGTCAAGGATGTCCGTCCAGGACATCTTGCTGACTCCCGGTCTGTTCGTCGTTAGGTTGAGGAGGAAAAGCAGAGCGACAAGCACGGTGACGATAGCTAGTCCAGTGATGGCACCTGTGGAGAGAATGGTAAATATGACGCGTTCTTGAGGAGTGGCGAGTGTCATTGGCGGAGGATACGGAAGTAGTGAAGAACGTCGAGAAGGTATAGGCTGGCTCCTGCAAAGTACCAGCATTTGGACAAAAGCTGGACGCGCGGAGAGCGAGCAATGAACATGGTGGTGTTGATTTGGGAGAAGGGCCTACAAAAGCAACCGATGCCTTTGAGGATGATGGGAAAAAGGGTCGTACGCTGGCCGCTGTCTAGAGCGCAGGGAGAGTAGGGCTGCTTGCATGGATAAGGTTTGAACTTGTCGTCTGAGCGCATACATGGCTCTTCCCTTTCTTTTCTAATGCCTGCACGTTCACCAGGTTTCCCAGTAGCTATTCAACGTTCAAGTTTTATGAACCAGCGCCGGGTATGCAGTCGTACGATACTTATGTGGCCAGGGTCAAGCGTTCGTGGTGAAGGTCGATTAGTCTGAAGTAGAAGAACGTTTGTACGCTGCACTCTGAGCGCTCCACAAAACGAAGGACGTGCCCGACTCCGAGATCATCTAGTCCAACCAGATAATTCACGCACTTGCTGTGAAAATAATCCCATCAAGTTTGGAATGGAGAACCGGTCAGAATAGAAAGAATATCGCCATCCAACGTCAGATTCTGAATTCTGTTATGGACGAAAGTGGGAAAGAGCCATGCGTGGTTTTCACGTCGAGTTTGACCCTTGAGTCAATGGACATCTGAAAGATACGTATAAGCAAAACGTCATTTGGAAGACATTGAACGGGCACGAATACGGATTTATGAATCTCGTTCGTGCCGGAGAGGAGCATCGAACAATGTAGCCTGCGGCTGAAGCTGTTCATCTGTATTCGAGGTGGCGTATATGCCATCAATGACCCCAACGTCTCCCAGGTCCAAGGCAGGACGGACGAACTTCAGAACTTCAGCCATGGGACCTTTAATATCGTATGTAGGTATTAACTTGACCAGACGAAAGTCCGAGATAACGGGCCGGGGCGAGTGTTGCCAGCGAGAGAAGGAACTTATACGCGGTCATTGTCGATACGAGGACAGTGATTTAACTCTGCATTGGCGATGGCGAGCAAGATCGACAAAAAGTTGTTTGGACGTTCGCGTCAACAAACAAGATCGGCTTCCGGTCCTCCCTTCCGAGTCCTTCCATCATCATCATGTCTCCCCAATACTCTGTATACCTTCTCGATGCCAGCTTTAGCAGGAGTGCAACGCTCGATATCGTTCCATTTCGTCAGTGCCAGCACCATCAATTGCAACAGAGGATCCTAGCCTGGAGTAGTGCCCAACTTCCTCAACTCGGTGAGCTATCTCCAAGTCGTGACTTTTTCTCGATGCTAACTTCGTTCTCAAGTAATTCGTCACAAGGAACGTCGACAGTCTCTTCAGCAGCGTGTCAGCCAGGCACTTGAGCATCCTCTCAAGATTCTGGCGTCCTTTTTTTTGCTATGGAGATTGTCAATTGTTGAAGAGGAACAACTGAGCCTTTGCTCTGTGTTGGAGATCAACATCTCTGGGTGTGGGGGGAGCATTAACATCGTTTGGTAAGGTGTGTGTCTTCCTTTATCTATTTCTACCAATCTAACAAGCGTACAGGAACGA